TCCCAGTTCTCAGCTGCGGCTCCAACCCAATACTGGCTGTTGAGGACAGCTGAGAATGTGTTAATGAATTAAAGCTCTCTCTCTCAAATAAATAAAAATGGAGAAAAAGGAGAAAATTATAGCACAACCAATATAATTTTTCATTTGACATCTGAATACAAAAGCCTGGCAGTCTAAGAGGGCTGTCACAATCTTACTGAAGCTTATGAAATATTTCATTCTCATTAATTTCATAATAATGAGCAAATACACTTTAATTTTTCATAAAGTCTAATCATTTCTGATATTTCAATAAGTCATTCTCTTATAAATTATTATTGCTTAATATATACATATATTTTAAAATTTATTTTAAAGTCAGAATTACAAAGAAGAACAGAATTCCATCTGCTTGTTCACTCCCTGGCTGGGTCAGAAAAGGACAGCTGGGACGCAAACCAAAGCCCGTTACGAGACACCTCCGGCATCCCAGTGACTTCACCCATTATGACCTGCCCATACATGCTTTTCACTTTTATACAATTATATTAATTTTATTTAAAAGAGAGAGAGGAAAAAACTAATTTGGTTCACTTTCCAAATGCCTCAAACAGCCAGTGTTGGGCCGGGTGAAAGGTGGAGTTGTGAAATTTGACCTCCCATTTGATTGGTAGGGAGCCAAATCAGAAGTGGAATAGTCAGGATTTAAACTGGTATATTCTGATATGAGGTGCCAGGATCACAGGCAGAGGTTTAATCCACTGCACCACCACAGCCCTGTAACAGTTGGGAATTGGGCTTTTTATTGTCATAAAATACAATTTCAAATGTTAGAATTCTTTTTATTAAGGGCCAGTATTGTGGCACCGCCAGTTGAGCCACTGCTTTCCAGTTAAGCCACTGCTACCAGCAGTTTGAGTCTTGTCTGTCCTCGCTAACATATCTAGGGAAGGAAGCAGAGGATGGCCCCTAAATAAACTGAGAAGGCCACTGGGAGGAAAATCCTTATCCTAGAACAAATGTACTGATTAGGTTTTTTTTTATTATGGTTAGACTAGAAGTTGGGACTGCACTGTAGTATAGTGGGTAAAGCCGTCACCTGCAATGTTAGCATATGGGTGACCATTTCAATCTCGGCTACTCCACTTCTGATTCAGCTTCCTGTTAATGGCCTGAGAAAAAGCAGCAAAAGATGGCTCAACCACCCACGTGGAAGATGGGATGACACTCTTGGCTCCTGACTTGTGGCCATTTGGGGAATGAATCAGCAGAAAGATCTCTGTCTCGTCTTCTTTCTCTTTCAAGTGAATAAACAAATCTTCCCCTGCCCCCTCCAAAAGATTATTTAAGATAGAGTCAGGGACAGAGAAAGATCTTCTATGTACTGGCTCACTCCCCAGATGACCACAATGGTTAGAGTTAGGCTGATCCAAAGCCAGGAGCCCGGAGGTTCTTCTGTGTCTCCCACATGGATGCAGGGGCTGGTCAGTCGGCTCATTTTCTGCTGATTTTCTAGGCTGTAAGAAGTGAGCTGGATCAGAAGTACTACAGCCAGGAACTGAACCCCTGCCGATGGCGGATGCCATTACTGCAGGTGGGCTTTACCTGCTAAACCTGACAGCTATGGATAAACCACCGCCACAAAGAAAACCAGACTGAGTTTGGTTGCTAACTAAGAATAAAATTATTTTTTAAAGAAAGATCTACTTATTTTTATTGGAAAGGCAGAACAGATTTACAGAGAGGAGAGACGTTATCCTCTGCAGCAGCTAGAGCTGAGTTGATCTGAAGCCAGGAGCCAGAAGCGTCTTCCAAGTCACCCCATGCAGGTGCAGGGTCCCAAATCTTTGGGCCCTCCTCTACTGCTGCCCCAGGCCATAAGCAGGGAGCCAGATGGGAAGCAGAGCAGCTGGAACACGAACCAGTGCCCATATGGCAACCCGGTGCCTGTAAGGTGAGGATTTACCCATTGGGCTATCGTACTGGGCCTAGACTTAAATGATCTTAAATTTTTTGGGAAATGAGGAATTTTACGTAAGTTAAATTTTCAGGCATCTAAAATCTGATTCTACAGTAAGAATGACATTTGTGGGCCTGGTGCAGTAGCCCAGTGGCTAAAGTCCTTGCTTGCATACACTGGGATCCCATGTAGGTGCTGGTTCTAATCCCGGCAGCCCCACTTCCCATCCAGCTCTCTGCTTGTGGTCTGGGAAAGCAGTTGAGGATGGCTCAAAGCCTTGGGACCCTGTACCTGTGCGGGAGACCCAGAAGAGGTTCCTGGCTCCTGGCTTCGGATCAGCTCAGCTCCAGTCATTTCAGCTAGTTGGGAAATGAATCAACGGATGGAAGATCTTTCTATCTCTCCTCCTCTCTGTATTATCTGACTTTCCAATTTAAAAATTGATATGATGCTTCCTGGCACCTGAAATACAGTTGAAAGAATATAATTCAGCCTTTTAAAAAGAATGTGTGGAAGTCGTCATTATGCTACCAATGATGACGCCATTTAACACTGTGGTGGACTGAATCGGGAAGCTACAAGCCTCCGCTCGGGTAGACCACCCGGGTCGTCCTCTCCGTCCTTGGCCCTGCCTTGCAATGGACCCGGTCTGCCACTGTTAGCGTGCTTGCCCAGTTTTCAATTTGTTACTCTGGAGAAGGCAGGGTGCAGGAGTTCTTTCACACAAGTCTTCTCACTGTATACATACTACATATAATTCTGCTTTCAATTGAACATTGTTTTGTAGATCTGATCTATATAACCACAGGTGCCAAACTATGACTCAGAACAAAATGTAAATATTACTAAATGTATTTTACAGATAAGATAAATAATTTGTGATCTAGAATACTTACCAAGCATTTATTCTAAAATGCTGGACTTTAAGAGGTAGCAAAATACTAAAATCTGAAGTGCTCAGAACTGAAGTATTGTCCAACAACATTCAACACAAGCTAAGGAATATAAATTTGAAACCAAAAAAGGGCATGACTTGGAAGCAATTAAAATTTTTAAAAATTAAAGATTTAATTCTTTTTAAAAACAAATCTTGAGACTGCTGACGTTCTAATACTAAACTGGACTTGCAGTTTAAAGAAAAGTTAAGTGGTGTTACTGTTAAGATCTATGCCCCAAGATTTTGAAAGAAGGCAGAAATATAACATCACTGCATACTTATGCTTTTCCCAACGTAAAAATGCATGCACAGAAGCTGCCAACGCATCCTTGCCACCCCAAGAGGCCATCTGTCAAAAACAGACAGGGCAGCGCTTTCTGCCGAGACCTGTGTGCACACACAGGATTCAGATCTCTCTGTGCTCTTCTATATAAGGCTGCACCCAGACTAAATTAATTGTATTCCACGGTAAAGGCATAAACCTGGGTATTAAACTACATTACAACTGTGGAAACCACTGTAAAGCTAACAGGGCAGAATTCTCACAAAATGAAAGCTTTACAATTTCTATATTGTATTTACTTTTTTCTCAAACGGGAAAAAAAAAACAGCCTAAGCTTAATCCCAGATAAGACTATCCTAAGCTAAAAAGAATTTATTACAGTTCCCTCAAATTATCAAAACATGCTCTTAAGGCTAACTTGAATAAAGGTCATGAACTGGCCACAACACACTTCGTTAGTGGTTTTATGAATTACAACGAATGCTGCTACTCTAAAAATGAACGTATCAACGAGGAAATAACCTGTTTGGCATGCTTACAACCATACAACACATCTATTTCACTGCTTGCAAGCGTCACTGTTGGAGACGGAGAATACTGAGAAGCGATTCAGTCCCAGCAGCAGCCGGTCCCCTGAACAGATAGGACAACATGCTGGGAAAAGCCCCGAGATGAGCAGGTGAGTAACAGATCATCTTCAGCTAATCCAGAGGCTATGCTAACCTTCAACAACTCCACTACCATAATTTATTTTTATTCAGTGGCTTAAAAGCGAAAATGAAAAATTTGCTAGTCATAAAAGGGGATATGATAAATATGAGATTTGTGAATTTTAGGAAAAAACAGCCTAATCTTCCTCCTCATTCCCCCTCTTTATTGAGGAAACTAGTAAGGATAAAGAAAAAAAATTATGAAGCAAACAAAAAGATCTGGCTGAAATCTGATAAGTTTTTTAACTTTTTAAGAAGTGATTAAATTTAGTGTTCTCTGCAGAAACATGTTACAAAAAACGAATTACTAAAGACAATTATTTATAGCCTAGTAATTTGTTTCCCATCTCTCAAACTACAGGAATTTCCAGATGCATTATAAAGTGGCATTTATATCAGTTCTAAGGTAAATCTGATTGGATAAAGCCATTAATATGTAAGGTTTCCTAGCTGACAAGTCATTTCTTTGGACCTTAGTTAGGCTTGGAGGCTTCCTAAACGGGAGGCCAATGTGTCCTGACAGTTACAACTACTTAGTGCCCTGCTTGGGCACGTGTTCCACAATACAAGCAGAAAAGGGTAAAACAAACAAACTAAACAAAACAAATAAAATCCCCACAAAACATCAGCTTTGTACAAAGTACTGAAATATCAGGAATCCTGCATTTTTGTGGGAAGTGGGTGAATTACTATAAATGCACTAAAGACTTCTTGAGAAGAGGCTGCTAGGGTTAACAGTTCTTACTGCAGTTTGGGAATAAATAGCACAATACAATCTATGCATTTTCTAGAGGGAACTCCGGCATAGTTTCAAATCCAAAATGACTGCAATTATGGCAATCAAGGAGGAAAGTCATAAATAGCCTCTATTTTCCACAGCTATTGGTTTCTTTCACGGAGTCTTCCAAATCTAAGCCTCCAGAAAATACTAAACGTTTGGAGTGTCACCCACAAAAGAACAGACGTGCGTATGCTGTCATTTTACAGAACTTCAATTATTTTTAAAAGCATCAACTTTGCCTTCCAGAGTGTGGTGTGGTCCAAGGGCCTTCAAAGCAGCAGATGACCAGCTTAGCTACGGACCATGCTGACCACTGCCCAGAACTGGATGGAACCACAGAGAAACGGCGAATGGCTCTCTCATACAGAATGTCAGAACAAAGCACAATCCCTGAGCACGTTTTGCAGGGCACATTTGATCGCTTCCTCTCTCCTAACCAGTCTGGATTACAGGCATACTCAGAACCGGAGGAAATGAAACAGGCCATCGAGGGCCAGGGGAGCAAGCCGCACTGGGCGGCTCTGCTGATTCTCCTGGTGATCGTACCCACCGTCGGCGGCAACCTGCTCGTCATTCTGGCCGTCTCGCTGGAGAAGAAGCTGCAGTACGCTACCAATTACTTTCTCATGTCTCTGGCAGTGGCCGACTTACTGGTTGGATTGTTTGTGATGCCGGTCGCCCTCCTGACAATAATGTTTGGTAAGTAGTTTGCTTTGCTTCTGCCGTCAAACCAAAGAACTAAGATATACTATAAGAGAACTGGACATTCCTTTAATCTTTATTTTCCGTGAAATAAAAGATGGACTTGAACTACTTAAAGATACAGTAAGTAAACAGGCCCTCATTTTCACCACGTTCTATGGTTGATAATTAGCTTGAAAGAGCAAAACCTAATTTTTTTGAAAACAATTTAACCTCTTCCCCAGTTATCTAATAAAATCTTCTGTCATTCAAATGACTACTATGTATTATTCTGCATATATTACCCCAAAATTACAGTGAACAGCCCTATTCTAAAACATTTGTATCATCAGACCTTTTATTGTAAAACTAAAATTTGGACAAAGCATAAAAAATGGATAGTTCTGAGCTATGTATGTGCTGGGTCAATAATGAGATCTTTGAATCACTAAATCAATTTAAAATGCTAAGCTAAAACATAAGAATTAGAATTGTTTTAAATACTCTTATTATAGCTCCTTGTAGCTAATATGCTTTGAACTTCAACACAATTCTTACAAGTGTCATAGTAACAAAGCAGTGTTCCGCTGTGAGGGAAACACTCTCCCAAGAGATGATCCCTCTATTTCTTTGTGATACCTAACCATCTGCATTCTTGACTAACCTCTAAGCTGATAAAATAAGTGCATCAAACACGAGTTATCTGCACAAAATGTAATTTTGGGTATTTATTAAAAATGTAATTTTTGGTATTTAAATCTTTGCTATGTAAAAAGAATCATATTGAACAGACACAATCACTCTCTGGTCTACATCTGCCACTGAGTTGTACAAGCCGAGCACACAGACACAGACGATCCCGCTGCTGGCTGAGGGCTGTGGGACCCTGGGCGGTGCCGAGAGCAGCCCCTTCACCTGGCCGGCGCTGCACAGGAACTGACAGACTTAGAAGGCACTTAAGAAAATCTGTCATTCCCAACAGCCATGGCTTCTAAGAATTATATGCTGAGAAAAAAACATCTAAAGTTAGAGAAGTAAAATTCATTAAATAGAATGTGTACCAGAATGTGGAGAAAAATTGCTATTCCACCTATTTTACCTAGGGTTTAAAAAATTATATTTGTAATGACTACAAGATATCCAATCTAAAAAGAAAGGATCTTCTCCCCCTGCAAAGCTACGCAGATGAGAAGAGGTTTAAACATCCCACCCTAAATCAGCATTTACCCAGGCTTTAAAGTCAACTGAGAAAATTCTACTGTGAGACAAGAAGTAATGAATACAGTTCTATTGCTTTAGCCACAATGTCTAATAATATTGTCTATTTTATTCCCTATTATAAATAATCTTTTCAATAATCCAATGCTACACATAACCATGGGAAATAATTTTAAAAATATCACTCTAATTAATGGAGAACATAGATAATGTTAATTCTGAATAAATTTAAAATAAATCAATAAGGATTATATAGGTATATGGACACTTGGTAAAAATTGTACATGTCTATGATTTAAGTTTTCATCTCTATATACACAGCGTTTCAAGGGTAAAGTTATATCCTTCAAGCTGCTCGTTAGGCGTACAGAAAATGCCTACCTCACACTACCATAAAATTTAATTTGGATTTTATACTGGATAAAATAATCTGAGTGCATTATGCCAATGTGAACTACAATGTTAAAATCCTTGAGTCCACAAACATCAAACATCTGCAGTATGCAAAGTACTGTGGCAGATAAGGAATCTTAAAAGGAAAATTCTACAGCAGTAAAACTGAGCTGACAAGCAAAACAAAACCAACCAAAAAACTGGTTAACAGAAATAATTTCACGGATTCTACAGAAAAACAGTTAAATATTCAGTGATTGGAAAAGTTGATATTGAAAACTTTGGTGCCTATGATATTCTTAGCAACAAAAGCAGAAAACCATATATATTTTAACATAAAATATATGAAATATCTTTACAGGTTAAATAACTGTGACAAACATTTAAACAGCATTTTGTTCTTTTCAATGTTAATTGTGAATTACAAAATAGAATCTTTTATAGCAGCAAACACTACTATTTTCAGTAATCAAGTTGCATATAAGCAGTTAGTCGAGTTCTAGAAAATGAACTAATCTGGAAAGCCTAATCACTACATAAATCTGTTGCATTCATTATTTAAAACATTGATTTTATTTATATGAAGAACTGCACACCGTCTTCTAAAAATCTTCAAAGGATAAAGTCATTTAATTGGTAACTGTACTTATTACAAACACGGTTTGATTTCAAATACACAGAAGTTTTAATAGCCTTTCACACATTAATTTATACTTTCTAAACTACTGCATTTATGAGAACTTCAGAAAATTTTAAAAGACAAAAGTAGACTTTGTATATTTTTCTCTGATTATATGGATAATCTTTAGGACCTCTGGAGTTCATAAAACAAAATTTTCCTGCGTATTGTAATCATAAAGGATTAACTACCATCATGAGCAAATCTAGCTGTCTCAATCAAAGTAACACAAACACCAACTAGTTAGTATTCTAACACTTTTAAGTGAACTAAGACATATGGATCTTTTACCTTAATACTGTGGGACTGTTCATCCGACCACTGAATTGCTCACATTGAGTTACACCTTATTTGGATTTGTTTTACCATGATCATGACTAGCTTCACATTAGCTGAGCAAGGGCAAACTTCCTGCCACCTCTTCGTCTCTGGGAACAGTGGACTCTCTGAAATTCTGTGTTTTATAGTCTTGTTCATAATTTCTAAAATTCATGACCACAAATCAGTGGTTTACAACACAGAACTTGAAAGTGTCTACAGCAGAAATGCTTTCAAAGGAGGTAAACAGAACATCCTACACTGACATGAAAAAAGATGGGTGGTCACATTTAAGGACTCTAAACTTTTTCTTCTTTTATTTAATAAATGACTTAAAAGAGAAAACTCAGAGGGAAAAATACAGTATTTGGTCATCCAGTCAGTGATTGGTACTAGTTTACAAATTTTTAAATCTACGCCTCATGATTCCTACACTTCAACAGTCTTTGTGATATACCTGAAAGAGTCTGATGTAAAATGGTTTAAAACAAAACAAAACCCCAGGTTTTTTAAGTAAGGTATGCTGGTTCCCTTGATTCACTTAATAAATTAAATCGCCTCTGTAAAACAAGCATGCTAAATCTTTACAAAGTCATGGGAACGGCCCTCTTAGAATGGCTTTTAAAACTTCAGTCCTCAACAAGAAATATTCTATAACCTATATGTAAAATAAAGGTCAATGCTGATTACTTAGTGAACAAAGGACATAGTGACTTTCCAAACTAAAAATGTGCCCCAAGGGTAAGCAGATTTAGGAATAACAGGAGTTTGTCCCTATCTCATCAAGACAAGAGTTTCTGGTTTAAATTGTTTTTACAGTAGTTAAGCAGAAACAACAACAACCTAAAACCCTAGAACCCCCAAAACCCAAGTATGGCCAGGTTGCAATGCATATGGGTCATTTACATTTCTGTGAGACACATACATAATTATATATATATGATGGCAGTTAAAATTTAACTTCAGTAACACACACTTTCACGATAAATTTAATTCAAAGTTAAAATAGAATTAAACATGCTCTCATGCCATCTCTACTTCCCCAGCTCATTAGGTTGAAGAGAGAATGCATGTACCCTGACTACTACAGAAAGAAAAAACAAAAATCTAATGTGATTTATCTTAAGTAGGTGTGTGTGTTAGCTGGCTGGTTTCTGTCAAGCAGCAGTAATACCCACCACTTACTGAGAGCTTTTTCTATGTCACATACTATTCTAAACATTTCACAATGCATAATTAGAGTCCTCAACTCCACAAAACAGATATTGTCATCCTCATTTCACAGACATCCCAGGGACAGAGGTAGAAGTCATTTGTCCACGATCACCAATTATGTGGCAGACAGGCTAAGGGCCCAGGAGGACTACCCCAGCACTCATTCTTCCCCTACAGCTCTGATTCTTGAACACAAACAAGAAATCCTACTAACAAATGGTCAGAATTTGAACACCAGACCAACAATCACATCTTAACTCCATGTAGCAAGAGAGCCATAAAAATATTTTTCTAGGGACTGGGCAGAAAATCAGCATTTTTTTTTTTTTTTATCAGTTAGACCAAAGGAGGTCTCAACAGTACTGTTCAAATCACTGAGACAACTAACGGCCAGATTTCTTTTCTGGAGAATGGTGCTAGACCTACACCCACATCTATCAGGTTGTTGAACCATGTCTGGAACACAGAAACTTACATAACTGAATGATAATTCTCTCACCCCTTATGAATGGTGGTATTTAAAGTAGTTTTCATTTTAAACAACAAAACAATTGTGCTATTATTAGTTAGATAATTAAATGACTGTTTATATAATTCATGCTCATTCTAAGCCTTATTTTGTCTGTTAATATTTGCTCCTTCAATAATAATTATTCAAGCAACCACAGAAATGGCATTATCCAACCCTTACCGAAATGAATTCCTCTGAGCTGAACTTGTAAGCAGGTCAGGGAAAGAGGTGGATAACATACTTTGCTTTTCAGAGAAACTTTGAATGCTCTTCTTGTGGAGCAACAAAACATTCAGAATGCTCTCTCTTTTCCTGTGCAAGTTCTTATGAAGTTTTCAAATTTACAGCTCCAGAACAGCAGCAAATAATGCAGTTCAAATATCCAATAATTTATTTCCCTTAAAATGATGGTTAGCTTCACTGCTTTCTTTTTACTTGAATCAGTAACTATTTTGCTCTGTATTACACATTTTAAAAATGTCTCAAATTGTTATGGAAATATATTGGATGCAATACATTATGACAAATAAATGTAATTAGAAATCATTAAACCCAAACTCCAAGTAAAAACAACAGAAGTTTTGGAATAAATTATACCACCATATCAATCTTTATCCAGTTATTTTATTTAGACAAAAACTTTCTAACCTTAAGCCTACCAAATTAACTGAAAGACAATTTTAGAATGAAAGTAACTGGACTAGGGAATATTTCTTTGGAAACTAAGAATGTCTGAAATTGTTTTGACAATTTTAGGAGTGCACAGATCAGACGGTCAAATGCCAAGTTCTATGCTTTTTGTGTCAGAGTTCTCTTGAGGCTTCCTTTTCATGGTTACTAGATTTATGACTAGAATTTTCCATACTTTAATTTTCAAAAGCATAATCAACGATCAGAAAAGCCAAGTAAATTAGTAGCAAAAGATTTCTTAAAATGATACAGAGAAAGCATACACTCAAGGGAAGCCTAAACTACAACATAAAAGCGATCTGCCTTTCATGCTTCCCTCTGAGCAGTGAGTGACTGAGGGGATAGCTCTAGATTTAATCCAGGGCCTTCCAGATACTTTCCACTGCAAAATCCTCCTCATCATATGCAGTTCTTTCCACTCCTATACTGTTAGTTTATTTTTAAGCTTAGTCCAAAGAATGCATTGCTGCCTCTGTCCAAGGTCCTTTTCCACTAATTCACAGAAAATCTGAATGCAATGGGGAAGGCAGAAAATCCAATTAAGCGATTCATTCTAAACAAGCGTCTCTGCTGTGCTCTACGCCTTGGTTCACAGCGCCCTTCTGTGGCAGTCTCAGTCCCCATCCTTCACCAGCACACCGAGGAGCATCTGGGAGGACTCAGGGGTCACCTTTTCAAAGTCCTGCAAAGCAGTGCCTTTCAAACATGAATTTGCATAAGGTCTTCTGGGGCTCTTGCAAAGTGTGAGAGTGGGTCCAGAACGAGACCCTAAAGTTCGCAATTCTACTAAATTCTTAGGAGATGGCATCATAGCTCCCTGAAAGTGCATACATTGAGTATTAAGATTTAAATTCTAAATTTAAATCTTGTTCCCATCTTCAGACTTAACTGTATCTGGTTCTAGTCATCTGCTACATCAGCCATACCTCACAGGTCCCTCCCAGATTCCAGGAAGTGAGAATCTGCCACCTCCATTCACCAAGTGTGATGAAAGGTAACAAGCATCCCCATCTAATGCTTTCATTTCTTAAAGCTGCTGACCATGGACCAGTTGATCATTCACCTTTTCCGAGTAAAAGTGTTCACTGCCTGATATTTTGTCCCTCATATTTAATACCCATATTTTAATATTCCAATTAAGAATGCCACATACAAATTCTGATAACTGAAGGTACCAAAGGTACCAACAAGAGGATCCAGCAACTTTGCTGTCCTTTTTTTTTTTTTTTTTTGGTGAAGTGTCCAAATATTTTTAAATGAAATCCTTCTGGACTCTGGAAAATACCATATAAAGGTCCATCTAAAACTCTTCCCCTAAATTATGGTCATCTTCAGGTCTGGGATTCTAACCTCTCTCACCCTGGGGCTCCTAGAATTTAAGTAGTTCACAGCTGAAGGGTTTCTTGGTGCCCTGAAACCTTGAGATGGTAATTATCTTGGTCTTTTCCAATTACCTCAACTACCTGTCCAAGTCAGATATACTTGCTTTAAACAGCAGTTAAAAAAAACTTTGTATTTTATCAGTGAACAATCAACCCATAAAAGGCCATTGGACAATATCATATGCATGATACGTGTTACCAGCAGCAATTACCTGCTTTTATGATAAGATCTAAAATCTTTAAATATGTATATACATGTTTTTGCAGAAATATTCTAATGAGAACCCTGAAATATTTTAGTTTTCGAAATTGTAAACTTGAATACAGTGGGTGCATATATAATGTACAACGTAGTACATCTACACACAAGTATATAGACACACCAGGCTTAAGTAATTAAAACTGCAAATATTCAGTATAACATCGAGACTTGAAACATTTGTAAAAACTATTTCTAAAATGCTTACGACTTACAGGAAGCACACAGCGAGTTTCCTAAGAGTTTGTTACATGGAGTGCTATGCCTGACTCTGAGAAACTCTTGAAGCCACGTCTGCCTGGCTGATTCACTCTCCAGTGCTCAGAATGATGGAATACGGAAGGAAAGAGAACAATCCAGTATTCTTATCTGAAGTCATTCCTTTTATGCTCTTTATTCAAGAACTATTTCTGCCAAAGGGGAAAAAAATCATCTGTATCGGTTTTATCAAATGTGTTTATGATAAACTAGGCTCACAATACAAGATACTGCTAGTCAAAAGGCAGGTCTCGGGCCCGGCACCATGGCCTAGTGGCTAAAGTCCTCACCTTAAAAGTGCAGGGATCCCATATGGGCACCGGTTCTAATCCCAGCAGCTCCACTTCCTATCCAGATCCCTGCTGGTGGCCTGGGAAAGAGTCGAAGACAGCCCAAAGCCTTGGGACTCTGTACCCATGTGGGAGACCTGGAGGAGGTTCCTGGTTCCTGGCTCTGGATCGGCACAGCACCGGCCGTTGTGCTCACTTGGGGAGTGAATCATCAGGCAGGAGATATTTCTGTCTCTCCTCCTCTCTGTATATATCTGATTTTGCAATAAATTTAAAAATCTTAAAAAAAAAAGCAGGTCTCACAGAGCCTCCCATCCCACTAGGCTTTTTGACATAAGGGTACTGGTAAGAGCATGGATTACAAATCTGCTTGCATCAAAATGCAAAACTCTTTTAAGTCCATTTCCATGAGGTTTTGAGGTGTCCTATATTGCTTCCTCTGCACAGTAAAATATTTTCTCTCGATACAACTCAAAAACAATTTTTCATTTGAATAAAAAGTTTAAGGTCTAGTCGTAACACTGTACAAAACTTAAAACCTACTTCTAACTTAGAAAAACTGTTGTAATTGTTACACAACATTGAAAATGGTATTCAGAGGGTACTACTATCTACAGAAATATTTTAATATTATCACTGTTGTCTCCATTACACTAAAGCTAAAGATCACCTTGTAAAGGTGTGGTCAAAATTTCAGATAGATAACAAGAAATGTTTAAGAGAAAAAAAAAATCCCTCAAAATTACCACAAGCTAAAGTCTGACGCGCAGAAAATGTCTTTCTCTCTTACAGAGGCCACCTGGCCCCTCCCACTAGTCCTGTGTCCTGCCTGGCTATTTCTTGATGTTCTCTTTTCAACTGCATCCATCATGCACCTGTGTGCCATCTCAGTGGACCGTTACATAGCCATCAAAAAGCCCATCCAGGCCAGTCAGTGTAACTCCCGAGCTACCGCATTCATCAAGATAACAGTGGTGTGGTTGATTTCCATAGGTATGTGGGGAATGCCGCGGTGTGGACGGTGCATGTGCAGCCGGGTTCCTGAGGCAAAGCGAACACCAGGCCTGGTAACCGGCCTACAGGCCAAGGGAGCCTACCGATGTCCCAACACAGCTCCTGACGTCATCACACTCAGCACACAGCCTCTAAAGCAGTCTTTGCAGAGTGTGAAGCAGCAGCAGCATTCAGGTCCTCTGAGAGAAAAAACTTCACAGCTCAAATGTACTGATATATTTCCACTTTAATCTCATGTCTGACAACAGGTCACTAAGGCCTACTAAGCATTGGGAATTCTGCAACTACATTAAAGTAACAGAAACGAAGTGCACCTTCAGGCATTTCTAGGACAAACAGGAAAAAACCACTTTAAACATTTTATAAGCATGTATCAAAGATCATAAACTCATTTTGGAAGCCAATACTTTAATATGTATACTGAGTGTTTAATTGAAAGATTTAACATGGGCAGAAAGAAAACATGTTAAATTACTACTCAGAAATGATTCATAGAGAAAAAAGAACCCACATTACTTCTAAGCTACTGTATGCTTTGTGCTCCAGGACAGCTGTCACGACGCCATGAAGCACAGGGCACACACAAAGCTCTTCCACAGCAGCATCGGCTATGATGACCGACCAGCAGACGCATGTCTGCCCAGCTCAAAAGAACTCAAAGGGAAAAAAACTGAGACTTTGGAACACTACAACAAGAAAAAAGATGTTACTTCTCTAATCACAGTAAGGTCACGAGCAAAAAAGCAAGACACTGAAACTGACCTTTATAATCCTATAATCACAATACTAGAACCAACTACTTTTTAGTACGTACGTTTACAATACTAGCAAGACGTGCTAATGCTCTGGTTTGGAAACAAAGTTAGGACCAAGGAAAAGCCTGTGCAGAATGGAGAGCTTTGTAGGCAGCCAGAAAGTGAGAAAAGGTTTTGGGGGACAGCAATTAAGAGAGGGGCATAGACTCTTCTCAAAAAAGTCTAGAGAAAGGGACAATGGTTGGCAGTCAACAAATGTGAAGCAGAAAGGAGGAAAATGGAAGTAATCCATTGTGAATGGTCCACCTCTTTTTGCTAAGCTCACTGTACTAGGGCAGGAGTGGGAGGTGTGTGCACATGTGGTCGGGGGCTTTAGCGCAGGGGTAGGGGACTTCATCCTGACCACGAGTTAAACATCTGCAGCTGTGAAATATGATCATACCAATAAAGTAAAAAGCTTTTGGAAGAAGGGATACCCAGGATGTTAACACAAATCTGTAAATGAATTGTTTTTTAGGTATCTAAGCTAGGTACTAAGACTACATAGACGAGTAAGAACAAGAATCCTTGCACTCCAAGGAAGGCAGATACATATAAATAAAATACACTAACACAAAATGTATGCAGGAGAAAAAATAAAAGATGATGCTAGATTTAAAGACTTGGATGGAACCTTAAAATTCTGCTCCTTCCATTTATGGATGAGAAAAATACTTGGTTGAAGGACTCATTTTAAAGCATGTCAGCACCAAGCCCAGGATTAATGCTCTTTTCTCTTCATTGTACTGTCTTGTAAAAACAATCAAAATTTAGTAACTGAAAAAAGAATACAGATGATAGGGCAAGTTCAGTTTTGGACTTTGACAAAGTGCTGGAGAGAGCTAATTTCCTCCCTTTAGATTGCTAGTTACCCTAGCACCATGCCTTGAACGTGTCTCCCAAGGTTCATGTAGCAGAGACCTGACCCTCAAGGCCGCAGTGCTGGGGGGTCCTTCAGCAGGGTAATGGACTGAAGCGGTCACAGGGGCGAGCAGTTCACTGTGGATCGGGCTGGCCTGTCCCTTGATCGGGGCCTTTTCAGTCTCCGGAATCAAATACATTCTGAGCCAAAGACATTTCTGTTTACTTGAAATCACCTTGCGGAATGTCTCTCGCTGCTTAAAACTACCATACCTAGGTAACACCTGGCACTAAGAGGTATGAAAAATAAGAGGGTGAGGTATAAAAAGGACCAGTGAAACAAAGCTGTGACCAGGTTTGAGAGGCTCATGTTTTTACACCTTTAAGTGTGAAAACAGAAGAACAGATAAACAAAGTCAAGAGAACAGTAAATAACAGCTCACCATTAGTGAAGAGTAGCAAGGCAAGGAAAGGAAGGATTAAGCATTCATGTATTTAGATGTGTAACTATTCTAAGTGGATTTGTGGATGACCCAAATATAAACAATAAGGTAGAGTTGGGGAATTCAAGACTTAAAAAACATTAAGGTATTGGGCAGAGTCCTCACTAGGTTGAAGTCGGGGAGCAAAGGCCAAAGCAGGTCAAGGTGCTGGTCCCACTGAGCGTGACAGGTGACCAGGAGAATGGTAGGGACCCCGGGGAGGCAAGAACAGTATAAGCCGGCTCAACAGATGTCAAAAGGCAGTATTCTGGCAGAGAAAGAACAGTGGAATGAGGCCTTGGAAATCAGAAGGTAAAGCAAGTATTTTAGCTCTGCAGGTGTTAGCTAGTTTCTGCCACAGCTCCCCAGTCCCCGCCGTAGGCCAAAAGAGGCAGCCCAAGATCGGGCACTGCCAAGCAGGTGTGGCTATGTTCCAATGGAACCTTCAGAACAGCACAGAATGGGAGCCAGACCGGAGCCTCGAGCTGCAGTATGGCAACCCCTGGTGTACAGCAAGTGCACAGAATCCTCTTCCCAGTGACCAACAGGAGAAAAAGCAGTTCGCTCCTCCATCACAAAGCTTTCAGGAAAATGCTCTTATCAAGGGCCCCTTTCGCCATCATAAAAGGCTGTACAGAAGACACAGTGCATTGTGAATTCATAAAACAACCTGAGGATTCTTCTAAAGTTCAATTAAACAATTCAAACAAAAAAAAAATCTGCTATTTGAAAGCAAAAAGATTCAGGCTAATCCTGTTTTTCATTTCTCTAAGAAGCTATTTCAACTAGGCAACATCATTTATTTATATTTTAGTTTCCTTTTTGGTTTTCAAAACATTTGTTTCTTTATTTTAAAGGTGGTGGGAGAGAAAATGGTTTTCCATGCACAGGTTACCCCCAAATGCTCCCAACAGCAAGGTCGGGGCAAGACGGATGCCAGCCACAGCAACTCCACTCTGGGATTTACAGGGGTGTCAGGGGCTCAGATATTTGGGGTATTACCTGCTGCCTGCCAGGTGCCTTAGCAAAAATCTAGCTGGAAGCAGCACGAGAACTAATTCCAGACAGTCCAAGCTGAGCTTAAATGTCACAAGCAGCAACTCCCCTGTTGGGCTGCCTTGTTCACAAGCTCCCAGGTTCCGGTTCTGAGTGGGAAGGCTCTACAATAAACAATAAACATTCTCCCCAGACAGACTGAAGCTACTAGTCAGGTCCACAGCTAAGAAACCATAATCAGTCCATGCCACCAACTTCAGGTGGAAATACTCCATGGCATCAGAAAATTAGCATGGGGTACATTTCTTTCATGTCAATTAGAGGCATATTAAAGCTTAAAAATGAATCCCACAATTTACATACACTCAAATAAGTAGAATCTTAAAAATATGAATTCCTTCATTTTCCCTAAGAAGTTGGAAGGATTAAAACATTTTAAAAACTTGTTAAATAAAATCATGTCCCTTCAGTGACAGTAAATAGATAACGCTGAGTCTCGCCAGAGACAATGAGACAATGTATTGAGACAATGGCAGCTTCTCTCCCGAATTCCCTTTTCTTTACCTAGTCTAGATCTATGAACAGAGTAAGAGAAATATGGAGCAAAAGAAAATACCCCCTTATTTATCAAGAACATGTTATAGTTTTAGGGAGAGCTTTCTGTATAACCCTGACATCACGAATCCCCAGGTTTAAAAACATTAGATCTGCTGACTTGAGTTCTATTTGTCAGAGCTTCCATTAATGAAAACCTCAACAGACTCTGCACTGTGGGTTCTAGCAGTTACAATCAAGTAACCATCAGAAGGTCAATAGGATAAAATCAGAAAAGACCTGATCTAAGAGTTACAGATCTATCTAAAACTGACTCCATGTACCTTGCTGCCTCTTCCTTAGGCATTGCCATTACAGTCCCTATTAAAGGGATAGAGACCGACGCGGAGAGCCCCAGCAACATGACCTGCGAGCTGACAAAGCAGCGTTTTGGTGACTTCATGCTCTTCGGCTCACTGGCTGCCTTCTTTACGCCCCTGGGCATCATGATTGTTACCTATTTTCTCACCATCCACGCGCTGCAGAAGAAAGCTTACTTGGTCAGAAACAAGCCACCTCAACGTCTGACGTGGCTGACTGTGTCCACAGTTTTCCAGAAGGATGGGACACCTTGCTCATCGCCGGAAAAGGTGGCGATGCTGGATGGAGCTCGCGGGCACAAAACTCCATCCACCTTAGGTGATGAGATGCCCATGCGCAGAATGTCCACCATGGGGAAGAAGTCCATGCAGACCCTTTCCAACGAGCAGAGGGCCTCAAAGGTCCTAGGAATTGTGTTTTTCCTCTTTTTGGTAATGTGGTGCCCCTTTTTCATTACAAATGTGACTTTAGTCCTGTGTGACTCTTGCAACCAGACTACACTCAAAAGGCTCCTGCAGGCGTTCGTGTGGATAGGCTACATCTCCTCCGGGGTGAACCCTCTGGTCTACACCCTCTTCAACAAGACATTTCGGGACGCGTTTGGCCGCTACATCACCTGCAATTACCAGGCCACAAAGTCAGGAAAAACACTGAGAAAATGCTCTAGTAAGATCCACTTCCAGAATCCGATGGTAGAGAATTCTGGGCTTTTCATCAAACATGGAATTAGAACTGGGATTAATCCTGCCATGTACCAGAGCCCAATGAAGCTCCGAGCTTCAAACATTCAGTCTTCATCAATAATTCTATTAGACACACTCCTGCTCACGAAAAATGAAGGGGGTAAAACTGAGCAAGTCAGTTACGTATAGCAGGACTGGTGGTTTTCATCTAGCAAATATAATGAAGAGTAATATGCTGATGAGACACAGGTGTGTCAAGAATGATATAAAGAAGTATGGTCATGTTACGCCATCTAAGAAGTCAGTCCTAAGAACATCTAACTTTCCTTATTTGGACAAAACTATTACTATACCAAAAATTCAGTAGTTTCAAATGAAAACAACCCAACACTCTGCTTAAATGTTACAGCACTCAAATGATACAAAAGTTAATAAATTTTAAGCTTAATAGATGAATATCATAAAACTTACTTTAGTTTCTAATCATATGCAAGGCTGTGCTATGAATAAAATAAATGAGCACTAACCCTGTCATCACACGGTAAAGGCATAAGGCACACACAGAACTGTACGACAGGGACAGAGCTAAAAGTGTGTGCGTGTAACAATCACATCTAGGCATGAATTAGGTTTGCCATTTACAGCCTGGGCTAGTTACATGTGGCTGTGATCTTCCTTTGGTAAGGAAACTATCTTGATGAAAGGGCTCGGAGAGACAGCAGCTGAGTTTCATAAAATAACAGAGCTCAGAATTAGAGCTGTTTGCTAAATGGCTGGGTTAACGGCATTATCCCAGGAGGGTCTCTTGGAGAAATGAAAGCAAATGAAACCATTCATGTTATCTGAACTGTACTATGTTTCTTAAAGCTATTAACGAACATAAACAACTGAGAGCATGGGACAGCAACCTGGGGATGTAAACTTGAAGCAACTTCATAAACTTAGATTATGACGGCTTGTCCTGGCTCAAGGACTAAGGGAAACAATCCTGACATTTTTTAATTGAGTCTCATTATTCTGTGTTTTTGTTCCCTGTTAAATCTGGTAATGAGCACAATCTGCCATTCCCTGGAAAGCTGATTTTTAAAACACTTAAAAATTACTGGTCTACTATGGATCTGTTAGATTCTCAGCTTTTCTATTCAACCCAGTAACAATGAAACGTGTACCAATCATTTTGGAATTTGACCTCCTTATCTTTAAAAAATGATAGTACTAGTTTACTTATGTATTTCTTACGTATTTTTACTTGAAAGGCAGATTTACAGAAATAAGACAAAGATCTTCTGCAACGGCCAGAGCTCAGCAGATCTGGAACCAGGAGCTAGGAGCCAGAGCTTCTTCTGGGTTTCTCATGTGGGTACAGGGTCCCAAGGCTTTGAGCCACTTTCTGCTGCTTTCCCAGGCCACAGCAGGGAGCTGCAAGGGAAGTGGAGCAGCGGGGACACAAACTGGCACCCATATGGGAGATCTGGAAGAAGTTCCAGGCTCTTGGCTTCAGACTGACCCAGCTCTGGCCATTGAGGCTCCTTGAGAAGTGAACCAGTGGAAGCAAGATTCTCTTTCTCTATAATTTCACCTTTTCAAATATAATTAAATAGCTAAAAATCATATAAATTCTCACTCAAGAGAAATGTCACTAAATTAAAATTTAGAAAACCTGCTTTTAAGTTATATTTAATCTTTTCTTTATCTGTAACTAAGAATGTCTCTATATCTTTTCCAGTTGCTACATTTTTAAGATTTATTTATTCTTTTTTGGAAAGTCAGATATACAGAGAGGAGGAGAGACAGAGAGGAAAATCTTCTGTCTGTTGACTCAATCCCAAGCAGCCACAACAGCAGGAGCTGTGCTGATACAAAGCCAGGAGCCCAGAGCTTCCTCCTGGTCTCCCATGTGGGTGCAGGGTAACAAAACTTTGGGCCGACCTCGATTGCTTTTCCAGGCCACAACCAGGGAGCTGAATGGGAAGCAGCGCCATTGAGATTAGAAATGGTGCCCATATGGAATCCCGGCATATGCAAGGTGAGGACTTTAGCTCCGAGGCTACCATGCCAGGCCCAGTTGCTACTTCTTAAAGAATATTATGTAAAGAAAACTCAGAATGTACCTTTAAAATCAGGAAGCACTTAAAGCCTGGTACTGTGGCTCAGTGGGTTAAAGAGTTCCTTAATGAGGTCAGTGAGCTCAGAACTAAATTATTTCAGCAAAAGAAATCAAATTTATGGAGGTTTTTGTGGAACCACTATTAATGAATTTTGGAGAATGAACAGAACATGGCAAAGGTATGAAAAACAGTGGCTAAACATTCCAGTGGTTTTACTAGAAAAAACTGGGGAAATGATCCAAGAAATCCTAAGTGTGGGGTCTATTACAGATCTAAAAAACACTAATGTTTAATATTGGTTTTGTCAGATCTCATTATCACAAGAGAAACTGGTCAAACCTAAGAAATTGCACCTTCGGTTTCAGAAGAATCAGAGTAGTAGATTAGAATAAATACTATGTCATTAAGATTAGTGAAGGATTTCAGGTGTCTTTGTGAATAAACTGAACAAATGAAGGTTAGAAGATAATACAATGAAGGTATTAGCATTTTGATCAATAATCTCATTCAAGCAAAGCAATGTAAGGAGAAATTATTAGCGCACTGTAAGGAGCTGTGCTCTGTATTACTCAATGTTTTTTTCCGCGCTAGGAAGAAAATGTTTTATAGTTGGCAGTAAATGGATGAATTCCTATCTAGGATTGTAACGGAGATGATGCTGTAATTAGTTCACAGAGGTTATTCAAGAAGAAATACCTGTTATATTACATTACAATCTTTACAACAGAGATCTGCTTCCAGGGAACCTAGAGTAGAAAATCTCTTCTAGGGAGTAAAAGGATGTTAAGACATTTGACTCACCCTCCACGTACCTTGGGAACTCACTGTGCAACTGCATCACAAGTAAGCTAAGACAAGCAATGTCCAAATAGTGCAAAACAAGACCTTCTACTCTGCATTCTTTATATATGCTTAATGCCAGCATTGTAGTGTAGTGCATTAATCTGCCACCTGTGATGCCAACACATCAATCAGAAAACCTGCTTAAGACCTGCTCTGCTTTGGACCCAGCTGTCTGTTAATGTGCCTGGAAAAGCAGCAGAAAATGGCCCAAGTACATGGACTACCATGACTCAAGTGGGAGACCCTGATGGGGTTCCCAGGCCCTAATGTTATAAACATTTAGGGAGTGAATCAGCAAATAAAATAAATCTTAAAAGAGGAAACTATTTGGGTTCAATGAACATGGATGTTTGAGACTGGGGCTGGACCGACAGCAATGACAACTGCAGGATGAAGCACTACCTTCCCCTCTACCAGGACAACCACAACTACAGTTACTAACACACCACTTATTAGTGTCACACACTGCTCTAACAGTACAAAGGATGCTCATTCATTTCACTGTCCAAAAAAACAATCTCAGGGGCTGGTGTGAAGGCTTAGCATGCTATCCTCCACCTGCAACACTGGCATCCCACATGGATGCTGGTCTGAGTCCTAGCTGCTGCACTTCTCATCCAGCTCCCTCATGGTAACCCGGGAGGACAGCAGAGAGTGGTTTAAGTCCTTGGGCCCCTGCACCCATGTGGGAAATCTGAACGAAGCTCTTGGCTCCCAGATCTAGATGTTGGGACCCTTTGGGGTATAAACCAGTACAGGGAAAATCTATTTTTCTTTCTATACTCCCTTCCCTTCCTCTGACTTTCAAGTAAAATAAATAAATCAAAAAACAAACAAAAAACCCTACCACAGTTCACACAGCTAATAACATAAGGCTGAGCTGCATGTCAACCCAGGAAACACTGGCTTAGAGTGTCAAAGGCATCTCCATATCCACCATTCTGGCTGTAAACAAGGCTTTTTGTTGTTGTTGTTATTTATTTATTTTTGTTGGAAAGGCAGATTTAGAGAAGAGAGATCTTCCGACCGCTGGTTCACTTCCCAAGTGGAAGCAATAGCTGGAGCTGTGCTATCAAAAGCCAGGAGCCAGGAGCTTCTTCCGGGTCTCCCCGCAGGTGCAGGGTCCCACTCTTTGGGGCCATCTGCCACTGCTTTCCCAGGCCACAAGCAGGGATCTGGATGGGAAGTGCAGCAGCTGAGACACAAACTGGTGCCCATATGAGATCCCAGTTGATGCAAGGCAAGGATTAGCCAGCAGGTCATTGCACCAGCTCTTTATCAAGGTTCACCTTTTATTCTTGATCTTTTAATCTTATCAAAGAGAGTCAAGAATTATACAACTAAATTACCAAAATACACAAAGAGGATACTGGAAGTATTATTTTGACTTAAGTAGGTACTTAGAATCCCATGATGTAATTCTTGTTGTTTAATGGTTCTCATGCCAACCCAAAATACACTCAATAGTTTCCCTTCGATGAGTATAAAAATGAAACAGAATATAAATTGTTACCTGAATAAAATGAACCCAAGTGATTCTACTGCTGCTCTCCTGACGTCGTCATTGACATCACTTACCTGGGGGAAAAGTTAGGGATGATTATTTTACGTCATACACTACTAAACTGATATGAGAGGCCACTGTTCAAATGTAGCCAGGCCTCATTAACAGTCATTATTAGAATGACCTTCCACTAACCCTATGTGTGTGCATAAAAAATTATAACACACCTTATTATATAAAATAATGAAATCATGAAAAGTAAAAGCACACTAAATACTGTGGGATGGGAGTATCTCTGGGAAGGAGTTAGTCATCGCTCTAGCCCGTTCTGCACACAGTGACCTTGGGTTCACCCTCTCCCTGGACCATGCTTCACCACATGCGAAATTAAGACATACGTGGAATATCCACTCTGCAAGAAGGCAACTTCATTTACTGCCGATAATCTCCATCTCAACTGTTAGCACAAGAGGTGGAGGAAGTTGACAGCAACACATGGGCACTGGCTTTCCTGTGCCTAAGTCCCTGAGGAGTTCCTTGAAGCTAATGCCACAGGCAGGAAAAACACATGGTTCCTGTCATTGAGAACAGAGCCACATCCTCACATGGTCTCATCCTTTACAAGTGAGGGTGCCCCTGCTGTGGGCTTTCAGAAGTTATATCTGACTGGCTTTAACAATTCTGATTCACACTAATGCACGTTATTCTGTCCTGTATGCTTTCAAACAGCTGAGTGAACCTAGGGTCATGTCTGAACCGCTGGACCTGCTGACAGAATGTGAACCTGAGCGTACTACCCCTGGTTACCGTGGGCACCTGCTGCCTTCCCTTCCACACTGTCTTCCAGCAAGCCAGGCACTTACAGCAACATGCAGCAGGCGGCGAATAGCTTTGTTGTTACCAGAGCCACAGTAAGCCATAGCCACAGTATACATCCCAGAACGTCGAAGAATCGGGTCCTAGGAAAGAATGACTCCGCATCAACAATCAACTTTTAAACTCAAGACAATTTCTTTTGTGATTGGTAATTTCCTAAATGAGTAGGGAAATAAATTCTACCACAGGAGAGATCAACTGCTTTTAGTTTCCAATATTCAATACAAGAGGTCTTTGTGTCCTGACTCACACTTTGTAGGAAGCAGCATCTCAGGTTCCTACCAACAGCCCTACCCGACTGAAGCCAACTTGCATTCATCAAACAAGCAACAAGGAAGCGGGCTTCTAAGTCTACATCTAAACTTATTTTTACCTTATTATTTAATTGAGGGCAGCAAATTTTAGGGCAAAAAGATAAAACAGATAACTGAATAAATTTTTTATCAATCAGCTAGTATTTCTTTTTAGCAGACTACAGAAGGCAGCATTACCACTTACTACCGCCCAAATATAATACCCCAGTCAGAACAAAAGGCGACAGGGAAAAAAATTCAAGTAGGTATAGAGATGGGCATTGTTTTCTGATGAAGGATAATACAACTAACACCCTGAAAATAAACAAAGGTATAAAGTGCTGGACCTGCTCATCTGCATACTACTGATCTGAAGACGTGGCAACATTTAAAATCCTAAAGTACTTCATGCACCCTTTTCAATGTCTTCCTTTCTTCGATTCGGTTGTATTTCTTGTGAGGAGTTTTACGGACAAATATACTGAAGTATTCTGATGAAAACAGAATTGAGGCTGCAGCTAAAGTGTTTTTCACATGCTGGAGGTGACCAGAAAGTGACCAGTGCAGGGGAGCAGCAGTCACACGGCGCTCACCTTGTCACGACAGAGAGACTCGATGAGCGCATCCGCTTCTTCCATCCGCCCATACATCACCAACGCAATGCCCACCGCGAGACCCCGCAGGATCTTCTCATGCTGAGTTTCCTGGGCATAGCCCACCATGTCCTCAATAGCCTGGGCATTCTTCGAGCCCAACATGACCAAACCCAAGGCCAAGCCAGCTGCCTCTCCTAGCAATTAAAGGACAAAACCTTAATGAATAAATGAACCCAATAAACCAGCATTTCTGATAGCATTTTCCTTCAAACCACCTGATAAAAAGACAAATATCTCACATTTAAATCTTGACAGAATGTGCAAACTCTACTGTGACTATAAAGGAGATGTTATGACAACCCTTTCAACATTATCAGCAAATAAACAGAACAGGCAAATGACAGAAGTAGGTCACTAATAAATAAATTGTCATTTGCAAGTCAGTCATCAAGGAGACACGCAAGGTGTGTATAATTTTAAAGTTTGGGTGCTCGCTTCGGCAGCAAATATACTAAAATTGGAATGAATTTTAAAGCTTGTGTATCACAAAACACGTTTTGTAAGACAGCCTGACAAAAGCGGCAAAGTTCACTCCATCTTCAAGTAAAAATTCCTTGATTAGAAAACCCAATGGAGCTTTAGGAGGCTAGAAACAGTTTGTTCTCCATATTCACAGCTTATACAACTGGGGATCTAATCAATCATGAGTATATATTTGGGGAAAGAATTGCATCTGAGGACCCGGTGCCGTGGTCTAGCGGTTAAAGTCCTCGCCTTGAACACACCAGGATCCCATATGGTCACCGGTTCGAATCCCGGCAGCTCCACTTCCCATCCTGATCCCTGCTTGTGGCCTGGGAAAGCAGTCGAGGATGGCCCAAGGCTTTGGGACCCTGCACCTATGTGGGAGACCTGGAAGAAGTTCCTGGATCCTGGCTTCGGATAGGCATAGCATCGGCTGTTGCGCTCACTTGGGGAGTGAATCATCGAACGAAAGATCTTCCTCTCTATCTCTCTTCCTCTCTGTATATCTGACTTTGTAATAAAAACAAAATAAATCTTAATGGAAGTATAAACTTCTGGTCTTCATTCCTCAAACACCAGAGTACAAGTATCTATGTGGCATTTATGAGTGCAGATCACCTGCAATTTAAGACGTGAGCACCCTTCAGTTTTGGTAACAGTAGGACAATCTTAGAAACATTCTTTCTCAGATACCAGGAAACAACTATATTAAAAGGTGTATAAATTAATCCTAGTTTGTGGCTTACCTGTTACCGCATCATCCTGATAAAGGTTTGTTTTTAGCAAATCATACACATCCTGGCGTGCGGTTCCCATGGCAGCCAAACCAAGGCCCAGACTGCCACCATGTCGTACGATCTGGGGAAAGGCAATGATTCAACAGATTGGTACCCTATACTTGCAGATGGAGCCTTTATCTTAATTTAAAAATACATTTGAATTTTAAACATGTAGAGATTGGATCAGGGAGAATACGTAAAGGATTTGATAAACAGGCTAGTGGTAAACTTAGCAATTTCAGTTTCCAAATAATGATGCTTGCTAATATAAACCAGGGAATTGGCAAGTTAATCACAGAAAATAAAGTAGATACAGAGTACAATTCTCTTTCAAAAAATGTGGCAATGTGGCATAGCATGATAGACTACCATTGGAGTCACCAGTGTTCTATATCAGAGGATGTGGCTCAAGCCCCAGCTACTCCATTTATGATCTGGCTACCTGCCAATGTGCCTGGAAAAGCAGCTGAAGATGGCACAAATGTGTGGGTCCCTGCATCTCAATGGGAGTAGATGAAGTTCCAGGCTCCTGGCTTTAGCTCTGTTCCAGTCCCAGCCAGTATGGGGATCTGGAATGTCCTATCTCTGCCACTCTGCCTTTCCAACAAATACATAAATCTTCAAAAAAAAAAGTAGGGCTGACAGTGTGGCATGGCAGGAAAAGCTGCTCCCATGAGGCCTGCAATCCCATATGGCACTGGTTCAAGTCCTGGCTGCGCCACTTCTGATCCAGCTCCCTGCTGAAGGTTTGGGAAAGCAGAAGATGGCACAAGTTCTTGGGCTCCTGCATCCACGTGAGAAACACCGATGAGGGTGATGAGGGTCCTGTTTCCTGGCCTCAGTCTGGATTTTGTGCTCATTTAGGTTTGAACCAGCAGATGGAAGTTCTATATCTTTTCTTTCTCTGCAACCCTTTTCTAATAAACAGAAATAAATCATAAAAAAATAAAGCTACTCCCAATAAATTCTGCATTTTGAGCTGTCAGAGAGCTGTCAACTGTTGCTTTTTTTTTTTAAACCTACATACCATGTCAATTAAGAAAATGTTTACCAGGCGCCAGCATTGTGGTATATGTGGTAAACCTCCCAGTGCAAGGCTAAAACCCCATATGAATGCCAGTTTGTGTCCCACTTTTAATTCAGCTCCCTGCAAATGACTGGGAAAAGCCATCAGAGATGGCTGAAGTGCTTGGGCCTCGGTCACCCATGCAGGAAGCTAAAAGACTGAGACTCCTGGCTTTGGCCTGGCCCAGCCTTAGCCACTGTAGCTACCTGGGTAGTGACTAGTGAATGAAAGATCTCTCTGTCAAGGCTCGGCATAGCGGCTAAATTGTTGAACTCAATTACCGAGATCCCATGTGGGCACCACTCGCCATCTAGCTCCCTGCTTGTGGCCTGGGAATGCAATAAAGGATGCCCAAAGCCTTGGGACCTGCACCTGCGTCGGAGACCTGAAAAAAGCTCCTGGCTCCTGGCTTCAGATCAGCTCAGCTCCTGACATGACAGACACTTGGGGAGTGAACCAGCAGATGGAAGAGCTTTCTCCCCATCTCTCCTTCTCTCTACAAATCTGCCTTTCCAATAAAAATAAATAAATATTCTTTTAAAAATGAAAATATTTTTCTAAGACCAGAAGGAATAAAAATGTATACCCATGTACACAGGATGAGTGGTGGCCTGTTAGCTGGGATAGATTATCTAACTGTTCTCCATCTTTCCACGAAGTATGAAGGTACGGTTTTTTAGCCATTCAATTACTCTCCTGTTAGCCTTCTAAAAGCATACTCTAGCATAGAAGTTAGAGTCTAAAATCCCATTTAAGGCTCCTTAAAGTTAAGAACAAGGATGCAGGGCTAGCACTGTGGCACAGCAAGGACAGCTGTTGCCTGCAATAATGGCATCCCATAGGGGCACTGGTTCGTGTCCCAGCTGCTGCAGTTCTGATCTAGCTCCTTGCTACTGGTCTGGGAAAGAGTGGAATGATTCAAGTGTTGGGCATCTGCCACCCACAAGAGCAACCAGAAAGAAGCTCCTTACTCTTTGGCCTGGCTTAGTCCTGGACATTGTGTCCACGTGAAGAGTGAACCGATGGAGGGAAAATCTCAATCTCCTATTCTTTCAAATAAATAAATTTTAAAAGAAAAGAAAAACAAACCAGCAAACAACAAAACAAAACTAAGTTGCTTCATAAACTTTTCTAAGAGTTATATTAAAAAAAATATTTCTGGGTGGGTGCTTCACCTAGCAGTCGAGGCATTGTTTAGGAGCCTGCCTGTCACACAGGGGCACCTGGGCTTGACTGGCAGCTGGACCCCTGGCCTCCAGCCTCCTACCAGCACAGGCCTGAGGCAGCACCAGTGGCTCCAGGGATTCACTCCCTGCTACTCAAGTGGGAGACCTGGATTGCATTCCAGGTCCCTTCTTAGGCTAACATCCAAATCCTATCATTTCTGAGGAGTGAATCGGGATGGGAGCTTGCACTGCTCTTCTCAGAAATTTCAGAAAAAATTCAGAAAAACCAAAAATTATTATTTCTAAGAGAGTGTGTGTAATTTGGGGGCTCATTTTCAGTGAAATGATAGGGTTGGACTAGATGACAACTGAGGCCACTTATGTTTATAACACCCCAAGACTTCTGCTCATCATACATCATACTCACAAATCTCAGCTTAGAGAGGTGAAAAAAAATTACTCATCTTAAAAAGCAAGTTTTATGAGAACAATACTGTTTTGCTTATTCTGAAGTCCCATGAAATCCCATGATTTGGTAATGAGAAGTAATTACTTCTAAGTAATGAGAATTTAGTTTTCCATTTCAATACTTACATCATTGCTGGCATTCTTAAGCTGATTAAGCAGATAGTCAATTATATCACCACCGTGATTGGCATGAATGAGACCCAATGCATAGAGACCACCCCCTTCCTGATAGGCTGATCCAGGAGACGTGTCCTTGGGAAGGTACGTTGCCATTAACTGCAATGCCTCCTTTTCATGACCCTGAAAATGTAAACCACAAAGATGTCAACAAAAAGTGAGAGAAAAAAAGATAAAAATTTTACACGGTTTCTGCCTCTGCCATGTCAGGAGGAAGCAGCTCATTCGTGGAGGGGAGAGGAGAGCTTTGAAGAGACCAGCCACCTCCTCAGTAGAAACCATTATGTGTAGCAGGTAAAGCTGCTGTCTGTAACCCAGACATCCCACAGGGGTGCTGGCTTCTAGCTCAACTGCCTTACTTCTGATCCAGCAACCTGCAAAGTCTAAGAAAAGCAGAAGCTGGCCCAACCGTGTGGGTAGTTGGAGACCCTGATGGAGCTCCTGGCTCCAGCCTGGCTTGGCCCTGCTGCTGCAGCTATCTGGGCAGGAGGTGGGGGCGGGTGTTTTACCTTATGAATTACACCCAAACTGGCTGTCGCAGTAAATTTGGCCCAGTTGGTGGCCCTGGCCAACCATTCTAAGTTATCTCTGAAAGAAAAAAAGAAATGCAGTGATACTATTAAAACAGATACATCACATAAGACTTTTAAACACTGAGGTTAAAAACAACCATGCTGGTATCACACACAGCCACTGTTTCACATCCTGGCTGCCCTATTTCTGAATGGCTTTGTTGTAGTCTCTAAAGGAGTGAGCCAGTGAGCCAGGGTGCCTCTCCTCCCTGTAACTTTGGTTTTTAAATAAATAAGTAAATCCATCTTTCTGAAAATCCCAAAACAAAAAACTCAAAATACTATGTTGAGCCATTTCAAATCATTTCACTTGTGAATCTCAGGTTATTGTTGATTCTATTTTATCTCCTAAGTTATTCTTAATACTGAGGATTTTAAAAAATGAATATAAAATTCTACTATGATCAAAATCAAAACTATTCTAAAATTTTCAGAGCTAAAAAAAGTATTTCCTTCAAATGCCTACAGTCAAGCCAATTAATCAAGGAAAATTAATGTTGGCTTAAAACAAGCAGATACATGTGACTAATAAATATGTAAAACAGTAACATTACAATTTAAGCCTGGTCAACAAGAAAAACTTTCTGCAAGCAAATAACACATAGATAGTCTATTTAAAGATGACTTTAAACATAAGGGGGACACTCCAAGCATACTTACCTAAGGAACTGGTCACTGGTCGTCCCACAATGCATAAAGGAGTTTGCTATGACAGTTGCTGTGTGACATACAGAATTTCGTACTGCATCCTACAGAAACAATATTTTTTTTTTTACCATACATGCATACAGTTACACTACAGCTCAGCAGTCAATAGGAAACTGATACAGAAATTCCATCAGTAATCTGAAAGTTTTATCCACTTACCTGATACATGTATATGTGAAAATACGCATGTTTAAACTAAACAAAATGTACTAAGCTTCAACACAAAATAAATATAAGCAAAACAAAACAAGACAAAACAGCTTTATAGGGGGAGGTATGATGGTGTAACACGCTCACCCTCAGCCTTAGCACCACCATCCCATGTGAGCACTGGTTCATGTCCTGGCTGCTCCACTCTGATCTAGCTCCCTGCTTCTGCCTGGGAATGTAGTGGATGGCTCAAGTCTTGAAGCCTGCACCCACTTGGGGAATCCAGAAGTACCAAGGATCGACTCAGTTCTAGCCATTGCAAACAGTTGGGAAGTGAACTAGTGGATAGAAGATCTCTTTCTGTCTCTTCTCTCTGTAAACTGCCTTTCAAATAAAAAAAAAAAAATCTTTAAAAAAGCAACAAAGACTTCCATTATAAGTAAGTTTCCTACCTTTGTATTTTTTAGAATCATGAGGTCTGTGTTATTGTTTCGTATTAAGAACTGCAGATGTAATTCAATAGCCATTTCACCACTTAAAATTTTAATCATTTTCAAAGTCTGGTCCTTTGGTTCTGGACTCTGCTAAAACAAACAAGAATGAGTGAAAATCCATGTATTACTGAAATTCACTAAGCCAAATTTATCGCAAATATCAGTAAAGTTCAAATAATCATATATGCAACAAAACTCACATTTTAAAAGATCCAAGATTCAATTATCATTTAGTTGAAAGAGAATGATTTCCAGTGCAGGAAAATTACATCATAGACAACTTAGTAAACTCGGTAAGAAATCCATACTTGAAACAGAGAGCATGGACTGTCCGACATTGTCTGTACCAGCAACGCTGGGGACACTAAAATAGCACACTGGTGGAACTGCAACTCCTTATGAAGAGTTGTGATATTATGGGAAAAATCAGTTGGGGGTGGAAATTTGGGGGAGGGGAATCCAAGACTATACAGAATTATATAATACATTTCAAAAACAAAAATCAAAAAGAAGAGAGAGAGCTACAAGTATCTTTAATGATGTGATCTCACGAATTACCAACCCACCAACACAAGCTTCCCATTCAACTTCAAGCTGAAGTTTACATACCTGACCTCTTAAAGCACAAGTCCTAACAGGATATCACTCACATTCAGCAAACTAGCGTGCTAACTCTGACCCCAGGCTTTGCTACACCACACGCCTGGCAAACCAGAGTCACAAACCTGCCCCTACCATATGACTTCGTCCTCACCTTGTGAGAAGAAATTCTGAAGTTACTAGAAACAGAGTCTGGTAAAGACCTATAAAAATCTGGTTTCTTCTAAATGCTTTTCTGGACCCACTTTTTTTTCCTTAAAGATTTACTTATGTATTTGAAAGGCAGAGATAAGAGATCTCTCCCAAAATGGCCATGGCTGAAGCTGGGAGCCTAGAAATCCATTCTGGTATCCCACAGGGTGGCACGAGCCCAAAGACTTGGGTTATCTTCTGTTTCCTTCCCAGGTACAATTGCAGGGAACTGGATTGGAAGCAAGCAGCTGGCTCTTCAATTGGTATTGGTATCCTGGCATCAGCTTAATCCCCATGTCACAATGCTGGCCCCAAGGACCTATCCTTGGAGCTTTGCTTTACCAGGGGCTGGCAGTATGGTGTAATGGGTTAAGGTGCCACCTGTAGTGTCATTGGCATTCCACATGGGTGCTCATTCAAGTTCTGGCTCCATCACTGTGCCTGAGAAAGCAGCAGGAGATAGGCCAGGTACTTGGTCCCTACATCAGTCTGGGACCCAGAAGAAGGTCCTGGTTCCTAGCTTTGGCCTGGTTCAGGTCCAGCCATGGAGGCCATTTGGGTAGTGCATGGAAGATGTCTCCGTCTTTTGCTGTAAACTGGCCTTTCAGATAAATAAATTTAATAAAAATAAAGTTTTACTTTTTCAGAAAATGTTTTTATAAAATTACTTGGGTAATTTTAGTAAAAAAAAAAGAATACTTTGGGAAAAAGGAATTTACAATACACTGTGAAATACATGTTAGACAGCATTATTGGGGCTGGTGTTGCATTACAGTGGGTAAGCAGTTTATTGCGATACTGGCACTCTAATATGGAGAGTCATTCTGAGTCCTGATGACTCTGCTTATGGTCCAGCTTCTTGCTGACGTGCATGGGAAGGAAGTGCAAGTGGGAGATCAAAATAGATGCCCTGGCTCCTTGCTTTGGCCCAGCCCAGCTGGAGCTGTGGTGGCCACTCGCAGAGGAAGAAGCAGACGGAAGACAACTCTCTTTCTCTTTCCTGGTCCTGTCACTCTCCAAGCAGAGCACGCTTACCGCTTCTGGAGTTCTTGCTGCAGGGGTACTGCCTGCCTTCTCTTCTGTTTCCATCGAGTCACTGAAACAAAGAGAACCCGCCATTAATAACCAAGTAAATCTTTTCCGGATACGATGGGAGGCAGTTTACTAACACAGACCTGAAACAAGTATAAACTAAATATTCTGTAAGAAAATATTGTGTCCCTCGTAAATATTACTGAAAGGAAAATAAGAAAGCATTTTAGGTATCTGTTAAGATTCAAGCAGCTCAGTCACTGAATTTTTTTCACAGTAAATTTACAAAAACACGCAAAGCAACTGACTAGCAAATATTTGAACAAATACAATAGAAACAGATAAAGGGTGTTTCTCCTACTTTCAAGACACAATCAAGTGGAGGCAGACTATTACCAGCTGGAAAACCAGTTTGAGGTGAAGAGCTGAGGCCCAAACAACTCTCAAAGCTCACTAGCCAGCAGCCTCTCACTGGAGGATCTTCTCACCACAGTGAAGAGAAATTAAGGGAAGGGATGAAGAAAAACGTAAAGGTAGAAAACAGTTGCTTTTGAATATAAGTCTCTATTTCAAATAGCACAAACTCAACAGAAGATGCTCTAGACTACAGTGAGGCTAAGCAAACTATCCTAAACAAGCCTCCCTTACAGAAGTTTAAGAAAACTAATTTCACAGGACTGGTGCCAACACACAGCATACCAAACCTCTGCCTGCAATGACAGCATCCCAGATGGGTACCGGTTCAAGTCCTAACTGCTCCACTTCCAATCCAGCTCCCTACTAATGACTTGGGAAAGCAGTGGAGAATGACCCAAGTGCTTGGGCCCCTGCACGCATGTGGGAGACCTAGAAGAGGCTCCCAACTTGATTGGTTGGTCAAACAATTTCGGGAATGAACCAGCAGAGGGAAGCACTTTCTCTTTGTAACTCTGCCTTTCAAATAAAGACAAATAATTTTTTTTTTAAAGTTAAGGCCTGGAGCTGTAGCCTAGCGGTTAAGGTCCTCACCTTGAACACGCCGGTTCATGTCCTGGGAGCCTCACTTCCTATCCAGCTCCCATCTTGTAGCCTGGGAAAGTAGTTAAAGACGGCCCAAAGGCTGGGGACCCTGCACCCATATGGGAGACAAGGGGAGGGGGGAGGCGGGGGAGCTCCCGGCTCTTGCTTTTGGATTGGCTCTAGCAACTGCAGCCACTTGGGGGAATAAATCAGCGGACGGAAGATATTTCTCTGTCTCTCCTCCTCTCTCTATATGTGACTTTCTAATAAAAATTAATCTTAAAAAAATTAGAAAAAGAAAATGATACTTGTACCTGTCCTTCTCTGGTCCTGGAACGGTGCCCGTATTGGTGGACCCAGGCACAGAAGCAATAGGGGTGCCAACAGTCCGAAGATTCTGGATTACTGAGGATAAAAACTGCTGGCTAGCGCTTTCATACAAATCAAAACAAATCTGATAAGCCATCAGGAGGTTGTCTTCCTTGACCAGTTTTTCTAAGATATCACTCACGGCTTGAGGATCATCTAAGAAGATTAAGCACTGAAACGGAGACAGAGAATAATTAAATCATCACTGAAAACATCATTGACCAGAGGGCAGCAGGCAGCAGAAGGAATCTGAAAATACCAAGAGGAAATCTTCAAGTCAAGCGCTCTATTTTCCACCTAGCACTAGAAGAAGTTCTCTTGAAAATAGCATCTGTTTGCCATAAAAAAGCCCTGCAAATGAGCTCCTAACAGCGGTGATTTGGCATCGACTTCTTTAAATATCCATGTGCTACCTGACTTAGGCTTTTCTCAGTCCCCACGCTCCTGTGGTTAGCACACATTACACTGTGCTAGCTGGCAGAGGCAAGAAAGTCGCCAGGCTAATGCATCTCTCCTTCTGCTCGCGTAATCTAACATATGCTTTAACAATTACCTAACAATTTAGGATTTTTTCCAAGAACTCAATTTAGTTTTGTATTTTCTGCTTCCCTATGTAACAAGTAATTCAACTTCAAAGTAAACAGACTCATCAAAATTACTAAATTAAAAACAGAGGAGGAAGAAACAGCACATAGAAACGTACATACACTGAACGAGCACTGCACAATCAAGAGAGTGAAGACTCATGGGAAATGCTGGACGGAGGGCTGTGCACAACTGACAGTGCAGCCCTGGGAAGGAGCCCTGGCAGGCAGCAGGACAGCTGAGAGACTTACCACGCTCATTTACAGCCCTTTCTGAATGTTAACTGCACAGTACTTGTTCATAACATATTTTCTCATGCACATGGCTGGGACAGCATTTGGTATGCCAGTTAAAATGCTGTCTGAACTGAATATATCCCACAATAGGGCGCCGGTATTTAAAGCAGAGGTGCACTCTGGAGGAACACATGATGGTTCCTGCCACCTAGGCAGAAGACAGGCTGAGCTCCTGTGTCTGGACTGCAGGCTGGTTCAGCCCGGGATGTCAGGGGCAAGTGAGGAGTAAGCCATAAGTTAGAGATCTTTCTCGGCTTCTTTCCCTCTAACTTTCAAACAAACAAGTTTGAAAAATGTTCAACTGGAGCTGGCACAACGGCTCAACTGGCTGATGGTCTCCCTGCAAGTGCTGTCATCCCATATAGGTAATAGTTCATGTCCCAGCTGCTCCACTTCCCTTCCAGCTCCCTGTCTGAGACCTGGGAAAGCAGTGGAGACCTTGAAAAAGCCTTGGGACCCTGAATCCATGCAGGAGATCCAGAAGATGATCTGGGCTCCTGGCTTCAGGCCAGCTCAGTTCTGACTGTTGCGGCCACTTGGGGAGTGAACCAGCAGACGGAAGAACTTCCCATCTTTCTGACTTTCCTTCTCTCTGTAAATCTGCCTTTACTATAAAAATAAATAAATCCAAAGAAAAAGGTTCATTACATGTTTCTAATAATCACAACAAGACCATTAAAAACAAAATTGCCTCTAATGAAACTGTATAGAGAAGGCAGAGAACTACTATTTTTCATATGTATTTTCAAAATTTATCTTAAGATACTAATAAAAAATAATTAGAAGCAAACAAAACACCAAAAACCCATGCAGAAAAAGCTAGAAGGAAATATACAATATCACTTTGGCGCCTAAACTGCTGCCTGCGACACTGGCATCCTGTACCATAGTGTCAGTTCAAGTCCTGGCTATTTTACTTGTAATTCTGATTAGTTTCCTGCTAACATACATAGAAGAAAGTGGAAGATGGCCCATGTGGGAGACATGGAAACAGTTGTAGTCCAGGCTTCTCCTGGCTTCAGCTTGGTCCAGCCAATCCGAGAAGTGAGCCAGCAATGGGCCATCTTCCTTTGTCTTTCCCGATCTCTGTCATCATGTAAGTCATTTCCTTGTTTCTTCCAGCATTTTTGTTTCAAATTTGCTTTAAAAAGCATTTTTTAAAAAGTATTTAAAGCTAATTTTAAAAAATGGTAAAGAATAAAAGCACACAAGAACACGTATAAAACCCTATTGTCAAAGTAGAATACAAAAATACGTAACATGAAAAAGCAAAGCAATGTACATCTCTAGTTCATGAACACAGCACAGTGCAATAGAAAATGTGTATATATCACCTCAGAGAAAATTAGACAAAGGAACAGATTTTGCACTTTATATCTTTTACCCATCATCTGAATTTGGTTTTAAATGTAAAAAATTACCCTGGGAGATAAAATTGTACCACAAGGTTTGGCTGTGTGAGCAATAAAATCACAGATAATTTTTGTACTCTGAATTATTTTTAGAATGGCAGAACACAGTGTAGACTGTGCTTGCACTTTTCTTTCCCCTCGCTCGCAGAACTTTCTCAGATTATTTTCTAAACGAGAAACATGTACAGAGAATGGGTTCTGTGTTGTGAGTTCCAGCTTAAGATCCACATGCCTTCTCTCCCAGGGCTTTGTAAGAAGCCACCAGTGGGACATAACAAAAAGCAATAGGATTCACTGCGACGTGAAGGAGCCCAGCACAGTAATACAATTACCTGACAAACATTGATGAAATCAGGCTTCTCCAAGTTCATGTAGATTTTAACTAGAACTCTCAGCACTTTATTCCGAAACTGCTTGTTCTGCATTAGAGACATACACAGCTTCAGGCTGTAAGCTAACATTCCCGGGACATCATTCTGAAAGAGAGAAGTGCAGGACACATTTTATCTGATTATGATAGAAGTTGAATTAATCCACTTTCTAAAATTATACCAGGCAACGAACGATTTAAACCTCTTAAACAACAAAACTTTCAGTTGTTAAGCATTTTGGATGAAAATTCTAAAGGAAATACATATTCTTAGCTCTTCACAAGAAAGACTGACTGAAAAAAATGTTCAGCAACGCCCAGGATCACCACTAAAGAAGCATGGGACGCCATGATAGAGTGATGTTTATTGCCAACCAGGAACACGTGACCAGGCACTGGCTCTGATGCAAAGGTGTCTGCTGAAGGCTCACTGCTCCTGGCCTGCCGTCCGTATCCTCTCATCAGCCAGGGACACGAAGGGGGCACCTGAGTCCTGACAACCTGCACACCAAGTGCAGCCACACCTGTGTGGTCTCCTTCCTAAGAGGAAACCCAAACAGTATGTGTTTGCTGACCTGCCGTCCTCCAGAGCACCCTAATGCTGGTGATGGCACCCTATCAACACAAGAGCTCCAGAGCAGTTTCTCGAAAAAAGTGAGCTATGACTCGCCAACATGTGACAGAATCTGCCTATCATGGAACGGATACAAGTTTTACAAAAAATAAACACGATTTAATAATATCAGTTACATCACAAGTAATGACACAGGTAGTTTTATATTTTAAGTTAGATGCATACACGCTCTGGGATGCAAAATAACACATTTCCTATTCAACCTTAAACGAAAAAGCAACTTTTCTCCACCCTTTCCTCATCTGTCTGACTGCCTGCTTTTCTGCCAGATTGTCCCAGTGGACTGTCTGATTGGGGATTTGTTTCTAAATCTTTCTTCAATGCCTAGAAAAATGTAAGGCACATAGTAGGCATTCAAAATATATTTGTTGAATGAATGACAACAATATGTTCATCATATTCACATGGTGACAGGGAAGGCTACTGCTGCACAAAGATGAAACTGAGGATGAAGGAAGGACCATTCTATCACAACAGGACACTTCCGCTTTCGCTCATTTAGACTGTCCCCATTCCTGTTGCTAATCTCTCATTTAGACTTTGGGAACACAGTGCTGACAAAGGCAGAAAGTACCTCTCCTGACAGAGTTTATAATCTACCCCCAAATACAAGTAATTTATAAACGATAATGACTATGAAATAGCAAATGAGATCCACAAAAGAACCAGACCTCTTGGCAATACGGGTCCAAGGGGGTCTGGGTGCTAGGGCCTTCTGGAAATTTCTAAAGTGGAAATTGACCTGATCTTTGAATCATGAACAAGAAAAAAGCAGATAAAGAAAGGAAAAAAGTGTTTTTGGTGGAGGTGAATAGGGTAGGGTTCATGTAGATGAGAAAAGACCTCATCCTGCATCTTTTTCACATTAGACGGTGATCTGCAACTGTCCAAATTACTGGAAAACACTCCAAACCAGCAATCCAGTGTAGAGTTTAACCATAATAGATATATGAAAGTAGGAGTTTGCAGTTTAGCCTTCTTACTTCACAAGACTTCAAAGGAACCAAGAAAGGTGACATGAACACAAAGCACAACTAAGGTTTTAACACAGATAAGACACTGGACATTCATCCACCTACCGACTCCAGGATGGTCTTCTCAAAGACGTCCAGTCTCCGCGTCTCCAGAGCAATGCCGATCGCCTGCTTGTACTTGTGATCGTCCAGACAGCGCTGGAACATTTTGTTCACAATGCCTTCCAGTCTCTGGTCGATCGGCTTCTTTTCTCCTTCAGGCAGATCTGCATTTTCTACACACTGTTTAGTATAATGATCAATGCATTTTGCTGTATGAAAATAAAACCACTGTGATTACCTTGTGAATCAGACCAACTTCCCCAAAACACAATGTTTACATTTATAATCATACATACTTAAGAGATAATTATAAAGGAACAAAAAGAAAACTTCAAAATCTAAAACACATGTTCAAATTAATACTGTTGTTTATATAAAGAATAGACTAGAGGATCATACACCAATTCTAATTAGACTGACGTTATTCAAATTGTTCCTCTCTTTCTTCTTTTAAACAGTTGGGATGCCAATTGATTGTTTTTTATTGGAAAGGCAGATTTACAGAGGAAAAACAGAGAAAGATCTTCCATCTGCTAACTCATTCCCCAAATGGCTACAATGGCCAGAAATGAGCTGATCCAAAGCCAGGAGCTTCTTCCAGGTTTCCCATGTGGGTGCAGGTCCCAAGATTTTGAGCCACCTCCACTGCTTTCCCAGGCCACAGGCATGGAGCTGGAAGGGAAATGGAGCAGCTGGGACAAGAGTCGGCACCCCTATGGATGCCAATGTTTGCAGGCAGAATAGCCAGCTCAACCCTCCTGCTTCTTCTGATTGAGGTTACATTATGTTCCTTATTTAAAACCTTGGCTACAAATAACTGCTATTCCTTTTTGAAACAGAAACACTTTCCATAACTGAAGATATTTTAAAAAGGCCGGTTACAGTAACGATTACATTAGAAATACATTACCTTCAGAATAAAATGTGTTATAATCGTCACTGTATAATACGTAATGAGGGGCCAGCACAGCGGTACAGCAAGCTAATCCTGTACCTGTGGCGCCAGCATCCCATATAGGTACTGGTTCAAGTCCCAGCTGTTCCACTTCCAGTCCAGCTCCCTGCTTATGGCCTGGGAAAGCAGCAGAGCATGGTCCAAGGCCTAGGGCCCGTACAGCCTTCTGGGAGACTTGGAAGAACCTCCCAGCACTTAGCTTAGGTAAAGGTCAGCTCTGGCCATTGCACTCATTTGGGGATAGAACCAGTGGATAGAAGACCTCTCTTCCCCTTTCTCTCTCTTTATAATTCTGATTTTCCAATAAAAAATAAATAATAAATCTTTAAGGTAAGTAAGGTTGAAATGTGTTACAATTTTAAAAGGCAATTATAAAGGTTTCCAAAAAACCCTTCCACCAATCAAATAAAACAAAATAAATCAAATCAAATCAAATAGTGTCCACAAATTGAATAAAACAGTGTCTTAATGTGAGGTGTGTGGAACATACACCCCCTGGAGGAGGGCTGGAATTTTTTTTTAAGATTTATTTATTTTTATGGCAAAGTCAGATATACAGAGAGGAGAGACAGAGAGGAAGATCTTCCGTCCAATGATTCACTCCCCAAGTGACGGCAAAGTGATCCAAAGCCAAGAGCCAGGAACCTCCTCCAGGTCTCCCACACGGGTGCAGGGTCCCAAGGCCTTGGAATATCCTCCACTGCTGTCCCAGGCCACAAGCAGGGATCAGGATGGGGAGTGGAGCTGCTGGGATTAGAACCAGTGCCCATATGGGATTCCAACGCATTTAAGGTGAGGACTTTAGCCACTAGGCCATGGTGCCGGGCCCTGGAAATTCTTGCAACAATGTGTGGGCACAATGCAGTTTCAGTGGCTCCCAGTGCTTGGGGCACCTGACCCAACAGTTTGCTCAGAGACAGGGAGCAAAGGCACCCTGCGCTCAGCCCTCACCAGGAGTGCTTTACATAGATGGCACCTGGAAGCCCTTGTTTTGGAGAAACATTATCAACATAATCAACAGTCACCCCCAAGCAAGCCCAGCAACTATTACAACAGTGACAATTACATTTAGTTTCCAACAGCTAACTTAATAAAGTCATCAGGTCTCAAAAAATTCATCACCAGAGGATTCACGGACAGAAAAAAAAAACGCAAACACAAAATCCTAGTCAGAATTTCAGGAGCATCTGGAGGTGCTCTTCATACCCTCCGGTGCAGCACCTCCCCATTTCTGATGGAGAACATGCCCCAGCCCCTTACCAGCTCACTGTGCACTCTGGGCACAGGACACGCCCGTGAGGGCCCACTCACCTGGAGCCAGAGCCCACAGTCATCAGCCCAGGCCGGAAGGGGACGGACTGCTTCTCTACTGAGTCAGGCACTTCCGGTTCTTAAAGCCACACGCTCTGAACAAAATGCTACACTGCTGTCACTCTACAGAAATACAGAAGCCCAGGGCCTGGCCTGTGTATTACTCCTAACGCCAAGAATACACAAATGAGGGGCTTGCACTGTGGCACAGCGGGTCAAGCCACACCGGTGATGTCACCCGCCCATGTAGGAATGTTGGGACTGAATTCAAGCTCCCTGTTAATGTGCCTGGGAAAACAACAGAAGATGGCTCAAGTGCCAGGGACTCTGTCACCCCGCAGTAGACCGCATGGGGTCTCTGTCACCCCGCAGTAGACCGCATGGGGTTCCTGAGCACTTGACTTCAGTCCCTGCTGATGGGGAGACTTGAGGAGTAAGTTAGTGGATGGAAGATCTTCTCTGTCTCTCCCTTTGTAATAAAGAAATCTTGGTAGAAAAAAAAAAAAAAGAGAAAACAGCAGTTATAAGTAGAAACAAAACGGGTTTTGAAGCATGTCAGGATTAAAATTTTGACCTTGCTATTTAATTGCCTCTTGTCTTTATTATCTCAAAACTACAGTTGCTCATCTGTAAGTCAGGGTTAGTTCCTTCCACATAGGCAGCTGTAGGAACTGTGATGTGTGCAGTTACAAGCATCCGGGCCCATCACCCCGGAGGAGGGCTATAGACACCATAGTGACCTCACGAACTAGAACGGATGTAACTTCCATTTCATTAGTTTTCATCCCAACAGTACGCTCATTGGACAAGAAAACTACAATCACGGAAACATTTAGCACTTAGTTGGAGCTCACATCAAAAGACAGGCTACAGAGAAAACTATTAGAGGAATATTCTGACTTTCCAATTGAAATGAAATTTGGCAACATCAAATTAAACACAAGACTCTGAATGTGAGCATGAAGCTGACCCGGCAAAGCCTTGCCAGGAGGAAGGGAATTACCTATGATAGTCTCCACGTATTCAGAGTTGTCGTTGACATTGAAGAGGTCACCTGCTCCAAGGGCATAATTCAGAGACTCCTCAAAAGCACCCAGGTGGTAAAATACTTTCGATGCCACCAATGCTGCAAACTGCCTGCTCCGGAAGCCTTCATCTTCGTACAACACTTCTCTGAAAGAAAGGAGGAAAGATGGGCTGAGTTCAGACTGTGTGTTCCATAAAAATACCAAATCTAACTATCCAATCCATATATCAGCAACAAATTTCTAAATGATTAATAAGCCACAAGCCCCACATCCACAGACCAAGGTGGCCTATGAACTCCAGTTGATATAAATCAAGTAATTTCTTACATTTTGTCTACTGACTCAGAAATTTCTGCCCAGAAGTCATTGACGACTGCATTCAATTTGTGTAGTGCAAATTCCTGTAGGAGATAAAACCAAAATTCTATTTTGAGACAGACATAGCACTAGAGCGTCTTTCAGAGTTCCTAGCAGGGGCTGGCATCACGGTGCAGGTTAACTCACTGCCTTGGGCACCAGCACTCCGCATGAACCCAGCAAGTCCTGGCTGCTCTGCTTCCAATTCAGCTCTCTGCCAATGTGCCTAGGAAAGCCAAAGAGCGCCCAAGCACTTGGCCCTGGTCACGCACACGGGCACCTAGATGGAGTTCTAGCTTCCTGGCTTTGGCTTGTTCAGCTCCAACCACTGTGGCTACTGAGGGAGCAATCAGTGGATTCAAGATCTCTTTCTGTCTTCCTCTCTAGGTTAGTTCTTCCTTCCAAATAAATGCATAAATCTAAACCAAAAAAGGTTTCAAGTAAATCCACAGCCAGATCTCAGTAATATCCACTGAAACTTTTAATTTATGAAAGAGAAATTTACCAACTGACAAACTTTCTTTGGGTACATTTCCTGCTGTCTGTCATAAGACAACAGAGTAACCACATTGTGACAGTTCTCACAATGAACCACCTTCACCTGCCTGATTGCCAGCTCACATGTACATGAATCCAGGATCCACAGACAATGGAAGTCCAAAATTCCATCAAACAAAAATTTTCTTTTATTATTTTTCTAAAGATTTTATTTTTATTGCAAAGTCAGATATACAGAGAGGAGGAGAGACAGAGAGGAAGATCTTCCATCCAATGATTCACTTCCCAAGTGACCACCATGGCCGGTGCTGTGCCGATCCAAAGCCAGAAGCCAGGAACTTCCTCCAGGTCTCCCACATGGGTGCAGGGTCCCAAGGCTTTGGGCCATCCTTGACTGCTTTCCCAGGCCACAAGCAGGGAGCTGGATGGGAAGTGGGGCTGCTGGGATTAGAACCGGCACCCATATGGGATCCCAGTGCTTTCAAGGCGAAGACTTTAGGTGCTGGGCTACCGCGCCAGGTCCAAATGAAAATTTTAAATGTGTTATATATGGAACCAGTCTTGCAGCATAGTCCACAAAGCCACTGCCTGCAAATGCCAGCATCTCATTTGGGTGCTGTTCTCCTGGCTGCTCTACTTCCAATCCAATGGTCTAGGAAAAGCAGTGGAAGATGTTCCAAATGTCTGGGACCCTGTTATCCATGTGGGAGACCTAAAAGCAGATCCTAGCTCCTGGCTCCAGCCTGGCCTAGTCCTGGCCACTGTGACCATGTGTGGAATGAACCAGTGGATGGAAGATCTTTCCACTTTCCTTTGTAATTCTTTCAAATAAATAAATAACATCTTAACAACAATGGCAAAAAAAACACAAAAGTGTTACATAAGCATGTTTTGTGCTTTCTGTTCATAAAGAAATTGCAGGGATTATTCAAGTGCTATATTGGCATTGATTTGCTTTAGCTTTGTCAAACTCAAGGCAAGTCGGTGGCTACTACCAAAATACTGCCTTCTCTGGCGACACTAGACGACCAGCTACAGGCTGCACAGGGCAACAACAGTGATGGACCATGTCCGCTGCTCCTCTGACTCATACCTTCAGCTGTGGTTCTTCTTCGTCCAGAAGGGAAATGATTCCAGCTGCAAAAGAAAAAGCATGTCATGAGTACGAAACAGACTAAGGTGGGAATCAATACTCGGTCAAAGATACACAATGGCTGGAAAAAAACCTTTTATGAGAAGCAACTTCACTGAAGCAATAATGCTTTTTTCTTTAGAACTATAAAGGTTTGTAGTTCAAAGTTTGAAAATGGACTGTTCTGGGCCCGGTGCAGTAGCCTAGTGGCTAAAGTTCTCGCCTTGAGCTCACCAGGATCTCATATGAGCGCGAGTTCGTGTCCTGATTGTTCCATTTCCCATCCAGCTCCCTGCTTGTGGCCTGGGAGGGCAGTCAAATACGGCCCAAAGCCTTGGAACCCTGCACCTGCGTGGGAGGCCTGGAAGGCACTCTAGGCTTCTGGCTTCAGATCAGCTCAGCACTGGCCATTATGGCTTCTTGGGGAGTGAACCAGCAGACGGAGGATCTTGCTCTCTGTAAATCTGCCCTTCCAATAAAAATTAATAAATCATGACACCACACATACAACAGGATTTGCCCAATCTGGTGGTTTTCAAGGGGCCACCAGGTAACAGGTTAGACATAATCAGCTCCACTTCAGAAATGGCACGCTGGCCCACTGCAGTTCAAAACCCACCGGCCTGACTTAATGACCAAGACAGGAGACTTTCACACACAATTTCAGAACAATTATTCACACAAAATTAACCAACAATTTAATTTTTTACTGTAAAAAGATGTTTTTAATTGTGAATTTATCACAGTAAATTATTTTAACTACTTCAAGGTGCCTATACTAAGGTACCTTCTTCCTATCACAAGTAACCTAGAAGCTGCTATTAAACAATGAGGACTCAGGGCGGCTCTGTGGCATAGTAAACTCAGTTTCCACCTGCAGTGCTAGCATCTCATGTGCCTGGGTTTGAGTCCCGGCTGCTCTACTTCTGACTACAGATCTGGTCTGTGAAGGCAGCAGAAGAGGATGGCTCAGGGCCTTAGGCTCCTGCACCCACACGGGAGACTCAGAAGAAGTGCTGGCTCTGGACTGACTAAACACTGGGTTCCCCGTGCCTTAGCTTAGCCTTAAGCAACCAGCACTTACAAAGAAAAGGCGTAATTGTGCTCACCAAAACAAAGTGTGGAAATGAAATACACTCAGAGATCAAAAGGGTTTTTTTTTTAAAAAAAAAGATTTACTTATTTATTGGAAAGTCAGATATACAGAGAGGAGAAGAGACAGAGAGGAAGATCTTCCATCCAATGATTCGCTCCCCAAGTGACCGCAATGGCCGATGCTGTGCCGATCTGAAGCCAGAATCCAGGAACTTCTTCCAGGTCTCCCACATAGGTGCAGGGTCCCAAAGCTTTTGGCCATCCTCCACTGCTTTCCCAGGCCACAGGCAGGGAGCTGGATGGGACGTGGAGCTGCCGAGATTAGAACCAGCAACCATATGGGATCCTGGGATGTTCAAGGCGAGGACTTTAGCCGCTAGGCCACGGCACCGGGCCCCAAGAGGGTTTTTAGAGAAAAGATATTAAGATCTTATCTTTTCTTAGAGAAAGATAAAAATTATTGTTCTTACAACACAAAGGAAATCAAACTGTCTGTCAAATGCGTTTTCCATTTAGTCTCAAAAGTATGCCAGGGGCCCGGCGGTGTGGCCTAGTGGCTAAAGTCCTTGCCTTGAAGGCACCAGGATCCCATATGGGCACCGGTTCTAATCCCAGCAGCTCCACGTCCCATCCAGCTCCCTGCCTGTGGCCTGGGAAAGCAGTCGAGGATGGCCAAAAGCTTTGGGACCCTGCACCTATGTGGGAGACCTGGAAGAAGTTCCTGGATTCTGGCTTCAGATCTGCGCAGCGCTGGCAATGGTGGTCACTTGGGGAGTGAATCATTGGATGGAAGATCTTCCTCTCTGTCTCTCCTCCTCTCTGTATATCTGACTTTGTAATAAGAATAAATAAATCTTTAAAGAAAAAAAGTATGCTGGAAAACTAAGCTGACACTGACTTGATTACAAAGGTGCAAAGCCACCTGCAGTTAGGAGAGGCAGCCGTTTCTAATGGCAAGGGGAGGTTTGTCAAGCAGGTTCAGAAGCCTCCTGAGCCATTTAGAAAAGGATACAAAACCAGCCTACACCGCTAGTTCAAAAAGCATAAAAGCAGACAAAGACAACCTCGTGGAGCTCTAGGCTACGGGGACAAATCCAGACAGGGATGCTGAGTCAGCAGTATAAAGAGGAAATAAATTCTAAAATGCAATGAAAAATAAAAGTGATGCAGATTAAATAACAGGCTAGGATGCTTCCAGCGTAGAACACATCACAAATACTAAAAATGCTACTTACTGGTCACTTAGTAGCATTAACCATGTCTGAAGAGCTTCTGACCACCTTGGCCTGGTTTTATACAGTCAGCCCTTGGCCACGGGAAGAAACTAAATACTTCACTTTCCACACATCCTACCTTTGCAATAGAAACAGAGAGAACTCTCCTCTGGGTGCAGGAAAGGGAGAGAACCAAGTGAGCTAAAACGTTCTCAGGTCAACACAGGAACGCAGTACTGACACTGTGTGCAGTTGCTGAATCGAGCTGCAGCATTAGTTGGGTATTATTTATAAAGTTCAGTTCCAAAAAACCACAACTCACAAATGTGAGTGGTTGTCCTGGCAACAGTAGGGGAGTGGAAGACTACTGTTTTAAAACTTTTCTAGCCTGATTTCCTTTGTGCTTAAAACCAAACAGGTGGCCCGCAGTCGGGGGTCCAGCTCTGGGCCACCATCCCCTACGCGCAGGCCCGGCTGCTCCACCGCTCACCCAGTTCTCTGCTAACGTGGATGACGGGCGAGGACCCCGCCAACCACGTGGGAGAGCCAGGGAGGATCCAGGTTCCTGGCCTCAGACTGGCCAGCCTCGGGTCACTGCAGCCATCTGGGGGTGTGAAGCAGTGAACGGAAGATCTGTCTCATCTTCTTTCTCTGTAACTCTACCTTTCAAATAAAAACAAATGTTAAAGTCCAATCCACTCATCTCCTTCCGGTGGCGCCTGTCTCTCTCCACCCTCTCCCTCCCACAGTCACAGCTCTGCCCTGTGACTGCCAATCTCAATCACTCGCCCTCAGTAGATGACGAACAGCCCGACTGCTCCAGAACGGGAACCCTGGGCGTCTCGCACGGGGAGACCCCGAGCTGGCGTGAACTGCAGGGTGGGCAACAGAGAAGGCTGGAGCAGAAACTGACAGGGAATGGAGAAATCCGACAATGACAGTAATAAATGCGTATTATACTACCACCACAGAATCTCAGGGTCTGACCTCAAAAATCACTCCTCACGCCCCCCAGAAAGGCTCGCATTCTCCCATTTCCTGACCAAACGCCCCTTCAGCCTCTCACTGTACAACTGCACCAGCTGAGAGCCGCACCAATCCCACGGGTGGCCGGTTTCTTTTATTCCTGCCATTCTTCACAGCAGAACTTCCACGTGAGCTCCACGGTGTTCTAAGAACTGTGTGAACAAGCATCTTGCCCAAAATTCTACCAGGGAGACAAAGACTGGGAGCAGCAGTGAACACACAGGGCAGTCACACACCTGGGACACAGTGGGGGTAGCTGGGGGCCGAGAGGGCCGCCATGTCGTGGCAGAGGGGCCAGGAAAAACCCACATTTGCATGTAGACTTAAGGCTGAGAAGCTTGGAGAGGCAGTGGAGTAGCAAGCTAAGCTTCAGCCTCTGGTGTGGGCAGCCCACCTGGCTGCCGGTCCAAGTCCCAACTATTCCACTTCCCATCCAGCTCCCTGCCTGTGGCCCGGGAAAGCAGTGGAGGACCAGCCAAAGCTTTGGGACCCTGCACCTGTGTGGGAGACCCGGAAGAGGCTCCTGGCTCCTGGCTTCCCAACCACTGCAGTCCTATGAGGAGTGAACCCACAGGTGGAAGATCTCTCTTCCTCTGTCTTTCCTTTCTACCTTGTAATTCTACCTTTCAAAAAAAAAACACAAAAAACAAACAAATCCTTACAGACTGACAAACTCACGGAAATTCAGAGGAAGTCTACAGAGGGAACCCTGAAGGCAGAAGAGAAAGTAACATATTTGGGGGGGGAAAAAAAGCCAGTGTGGTTAGCACGGTGGGAGAGGAGGAGAGCGCCTAGCAGGAAAGGGCCAGATCCCGCAAGTCTGCATTTTATTCTAAACACACGGAGCAGTCTGGAAGTTCAAGGAAGGTGTAACCAGAGTTTTCAGAAGGGATAGTCTATCTTCGAGAAAAAGAACGGGACTGTACACAGGTGATGATTTAAAAAGAAAAAAAAAAAGTCTCTTGAGGTTGCCATGGTAACCCAGGCACCTCATCAAGATGACGGGGGGAGTGGGGAGCAGGGAGGCTAAGGGGAGGGTCAGAGTGCTGCTTCTGGCCGGGAAGAAGCCCACCTCCCAACCGTGGGGAACAAAAGTCTAACTCCCGGGAGCAGGAGCTCCTGAACTACAGTTCAGAGCTGAGCAGCCCGAAGCCTGCCTTCCGACAGGTGGGACCCCAGGGCCGTGGAGACATTCAGAACAGTCTAAGCAACACACGCGTGCACCCACCGCCCACCTGCGACGGGTCCACCCACGGTTAGCTGCCCTGGCCAGGCCCAAGGACGCCGGGGGGGCAGGCAGGTGCACCGGAGCACGCGAGTGCACGGAGCGAGCCGGGGGACCCCGCGCAGGCAGCCTGCAGAGGGGAGCCGGGCGCCCGGCGGGAAGCTCCCACGGCCCGGCAGAAGGCCCCCGGGACCGGGACCGGAGCCGGGGCCGGGGCCGGCGCGGGGGTGTGGCCGGGCACGGACGCCGGAGCGGAGCCCCCACCCCCAGCTCGGCCCCTCCGAGCCCCCGGCCCGGCCGCCCGTGAGGAGGGAGCCAGGGGGCGCCGCGCGTCCTCCCGGGCCTCGGGGAAGGAGCCAGGGGCGGCGTGCAGGCCGGCGATCGGGCCCGAGATGCCCCCGGTCAGCCGCTCTGACTCAGCTAAAAGCCGCCGCGGTCCCTCCCGGCGGGCGCCGGCCTCGGGCGCACTCACCCGCTGAGGTAATCATGGCTGCTCGCAGCACCCGCGCGCCGGCTCGCTCGCCGTCCCGATCGCGCCGAGTTTTCTGTCAGATCCGAGCCCCCCGAGCCCCGCCGGCGCCTCCTTGCCTCCCGGTGCGCGACTCAGTCAGCCGCCTCCTCAGGCCGCCGGCTCGCCGCTCCCCAGGACCCCGCCCGCCCCGGGGCTGCCCGCCGCCTCCGCCTCCGCCCGGCGCGCCTTCTCCTCCAGCTCGTGCCTTCTCGGCGCCGCCAGCCCGCGAGCAGAAGCATACGGGGGATCCCTGACACCTTCCCGGTGTCAGAACTCGGCAGCGTCGGGGACACAGGTTTTCACTTGCTAACAGGCATCAGAATGGCCACCCCTGCGCAGACAGGACCCCACCATCGCCCGCCATCGTGGAGGGAAAGGGTACCAGAAGACGTGCGAGCGGCGCGCGCATTGTCGCCACCTGTTGCCTGGGAGGTCTCTCTGCAGCAGGGCCAAAACTCGAGATGGAAAAAGAGACTTTTTGGTTTGTTTTAAACGAAGCCTGTCTTCAAAGAAATCCTTACGGACGTGCTTCATTTTCATAAAGAATCAACAGGTAGTCATAGATTAATTATAAAATTGAACCGTGAATGTTTTAACTATTTCTTTGGGGAGAGTTAATACTATATATTCATGTTTCTCAAAACGAAAAATATACAGGCCTTCTTGCCTTGCTCCTCTTCCTCTTATTTTGAAATTTAAATATTTGTTTTGTTTATTTGAAAGGCAGAGTGATGAGAGAGGGGTAAGTCTTCCATCTGCTGGTTTGCTTCCCACATGGAACCTGGAGCTCCATCCTGGCCTCCCACGTGGGTGCCAGGGCCCACACGCTTGGGGCATCTTCTGCTACTTTCCCAGGGGAAATAGGGAGGGTTTGGGTTGGAGGCAGGACAGCCAGGACTCAAATTGTTGCTCCCGGGTGAAATGCTAGTGTCCCGGGCGGTGGCTTAATCAGGTAAACCACAATACCTGCTCCTCTCCAGCTAATTTTTAACTCAAGCTTATTTCAGTGGCCTTCCTAAAAGCCATTGAACGTGGTGGGACAGGCCAATGTTTTGGGTTGCCAGAGAGTGAAATGCGGTTTAGCATACGTGCAAGTTTTGTTTAAAAAAAAAAAATCATTGTCTTAAACTGTGGTTGTTAAAAGCGTATTAAGTCATTATACGCTTTGCCAGCACCTGTGGCCCAAGTCGGAATGTTCTGGCGAAGGACTTGTGCATGTAAGATGAAGATGGGCCGTGTGGGGTTCGTTCCACAGAGGGGCTCCCCCAGTCCTTCACACACTCGCACGCTCCAGACCGCAAAGGCCAACCTGTCATACGATGAGTGAACTATATACCAGGAGAAGAAAAATGGTGCATGGCAACCCACCGTGGCAGAGGGGGCCATAGCAGACCGTGGGGATTGTGCCCCAATACCGTGAACACCCCATCTAAAGAGAGACGCGGGTGTCCCGTCCTGGCTGTGCTGCTGTGCAAGGATGCAGGAACACGCCTGCGGGTGAGTGTTGGAGACAAGCCGGAGTGCTCCGGGTGACAGTGCGTGGAAGCACAAAGACGGCCTGTTTGTCAGTCGGGCTCTGTGGGGAGAAGCCTTCCGCACAGGGAGACGCTGAGTCTCCCGTCACGGCCTTTGCTGCTCTGAGACTCCCATGGGCCTGTGCTGCAGGCAGGCGGCCTGGCAGGTGACAGCCACAACACGGCGCCTGCACGTGCTGACCCCATGACTCTCCCACGCCTGCACATTGGAGAAGAGCCCTGGAGCAGAAGCCTGGAGGCGCCAGAGACCCTCCTCTTCCTAAGATGCCTGCCACACTCCAGCTACCCTGAGCTCCTGTGGCCCTGCAGCTGGCCCTGGTCTCTCCCCTCTCCCTGGACCCCATTCACCTGCAGTTCCGGCCTCCTTGCCATGTCCCATTTGCATGCAGACGGCTCAAGTTCAAGGCCCGGGTCTCATGCCTGTTGTTGTTGCTATGGTAACCAGCACACTACGGGTTGGGGGAGGGGGCACCTAGCAGGTGCTCAGGGAGTCCTTCCTGGAGGATGTACAGACTCTGAGACCCCCTGCCCTCTCCGAGATGGTAAAATGGAGTGCAGCTCAGTGTGTGGAACACAGCGACCTCACAGGAAGGATTCCTGCTCATCAGCAAGGATCACCCTGCAAATTGAGGAGTGGCCCCTAAAAGTCTCCAAGCCCAGCTCAGGGCAGCCACGGCCTCGCACAGGTGTGGGCAGGGCAGGGGTCTCATGGGAGTGAAGGCCTGACTGCTTCCCCCACTGCGCCCACCTCCTGCTGAGCTGCCCAGCCACCATCCTGAGTGTCTCCTGCTGGTGGCAGCACATCCCAGCAGATGAACTCAGAAAGGCGAGCAGCCCTGGGGCCACCCAGCTCCTCCCACCCCCACCAGCCTACAGGCTTTAAACCTGCTGGCTGTCCCATTTCCAACCCAGCTCCCTGCCAGTGCACCTGAGAAGACAGTGGAGAGTGGCCCAAGGGCCTGAGCCTCTGACACCCACAGGAGACCCAGATGGGGTTCCTGACTCCGAGCTTTGCTTGGCCGAGCCCCAGCTTTGAGGCCATATGGGGAGTAAACTAGCAGATGGAAGATATTCTCTCTTTTCATTCTCTCTCTATAATTCTGCCTTTTGAGGAAATAGAAGAAATCTTTAAACAATTCCCACTAGGGTCCCAATCTGGTCACTTCTGGAGGATGAGGCCAGCCTAAGAGTGGGGGCCCCAGGAATGCAATCAGGCAGAGCTGTGACCCTGGGTGTCACAGGAGCCATCCTAGCCAGGCCTGCAACGCTGAGAGCAGGGCAGGAGGGCTACCCTGGCCAGGGCCTGGAGGGCACAGAGCCATGCTCGACGCTGGGAGGAGCCAGCCCCAAGCAGGGCTGCTTCAGATCCAACCTGCTACTTGTATGCCTCCTCTTTGTAGAATCCCGGGAGAGGAGGATGCAGGCCCCTGTGAGTGGGTGGGTCTCGAGCAGACACAGGCATTGCCTGTGTGTCATGGGAGCTGAGGAAAACATGCATTTTTTTAAAAGATTTATTCATTTTTTTCTTGGAAAGGCAGATACATATAGAGGAGGAGAGACAGAGAGGAAGATCCTCCATCCGATGATTCACTCCCCAAGTGAGCGCAACTGCCGGCGCTGCGCTGATCCAAAGCCAGGAGCCAGGAACCTCCTTCTGGGTCTCCCATGCGGGTGCAGGGTCCCAAGGTTTTGGGCCATCTTCCACTGCTTTCCCAGGCCATTAACAGGAGCTGGATGGGAAATGGAGCAGCCAGGATACAAAACAGAACCCATATGGGATGCTGGTGCACGCTAGGTGAGCATTTAGCTATTATTACACCAGGCCCAACAATGAAGGTTTTGTGTGGTGTAGGCAGTGGTCTTGGAAGCAGACCAGCATTGGTGTGATGGAGAATGTGGTTTAAGTTCTGTGGGCTCCAGCCCTTGTGTGAGGGTATGGCTGGGGGTGTGGGGCGGTAGGAGTGCTGTGTGTGTTTGTGGGAGTGTAGTGTATGTGGGGGGGATTGTGGTGTAGTGTGTGTAGTGTGTGTTGGAGTGTGTGTGTAATGTGGTGTGTGTGGTGGGAATGTATGTGTGGAGTGTGGTGTGAGAGTCTGGTGTGTGTGGAAGTTGTATGTGGTGTGTGTGGCAGTGTGGTGTGTGTGTGGCAGTGTGGTGTGTATGTGGGAGTGTGTGGTTGTGTATGGTGTGTGTGGAGTGTGGTGTGTGTGGAGTGTGGTGTGTGTGGAGTGTGGTGTGTGTGGTGGGAGTGTGTATATGGAGTGTGGTGCGAGAGTTTGGTGTGTGGGGGAGTTGTATGTGGTGTGTGTGGGAGGGTGGTGTGTGTGTGTGTGGGAGTGTGGTGTGGGAATCTGGCGTGTGTGTGAGTGTGGTATGTGTGTGGCATGTGGCGTGTGAGGAGTGTTTGGGGGAGTGTGGCGTGTGTGGAGTGTTTGGGGGAGTGTGGGAGTGTGGCGTGTGTGGAGTGTGTATCGGGGAGTGTGGGAGTGTGGCGTGTGTGAGTGAGGTGTGGTGAGTGCAGTGTGTCTGGGACGTGAACAGCACACCCACAGGCCTGGGCACTGCCGTCTGAAGGCAGGCTGGCCGAGCTGCTTGCCTGCTCCGTCACGTGCGCTCGTTGCTTCCCACACGGCTGGCACACCCCCGTTCCTGTTTCCCTTGCGACAGAAAATTTCTGATCCATCCGTCATTCCCAGGGACAACACCACAGCTGGAATTGGTGTGTGCCAACAGAGGCACAAACAACTGGTGAATTGATGGCACGAACTAGGTACTCTGCCCCCTCAGGATGCTGCCCAGCGCAGGGAAGCAGACCCTCCAGGAACCGACTGCCAGAGGGGGCAGAGTAGAGGGTGTCCGGGATGGGCAGCCAGCTCTGGGTAAGCTGAGGACCACACTGGCATCTCCAGTGCATGCCCAGTGCTGTCCAAGGTGGGAGCCACCAGCCACGGTGCGCTGTCCTGAGCTTCACCCCAGCCGTCGAGAAGCTGAATTTGCGCTTGTATTTCACTTCAAGTGATTCACATTTAGAGCAAAATACCCAGGTCAGTTGCTGGGAGAATAGTTGGAGTATATCTAGAACAATTCCAGGACGTGAAATTTTGACAACTGGCGTTATAAAGGTGTCTGGATGGGGATCAGTGCGTGTGATGGAAGCAGAGCCTGCAAACTGGAGTGTGAAGCTCAGGGGATGCAGACTTGGCTCACATAACGGGCCACAAGTCAATACAGATGAGCTGACAGTTCAGATAGATGAGGCGCCCTGAGAAATGCCAGGTGACACCGCTGGCAGACAACATGGGCCGTTCCACGTCTGGCCCACTGTGTGCACACACACACACACACACACACACACACACACACACACTCTCTCTCTCTCTCTCACACACACACACACACTCTCTCTCACACACACATGCCAGAGGGCATTGCAGTGCTTGAGTATAAACAGCCAGCTTGCTGCACTCACACAGAGCAAAGTCCAGGCCCCGAGCGCCACTGGGCCTCCCCGCCCACATCGGCACGTGGGTCCCTGCCAGCGCCAGAGGGGCTCCCTTAGTCCCAGGAGTCTGCACTCTTGGCCGCTTTGCAGAAGCACCGGAAGCACTGGGATTGACAGTGAGCGGCTCCTCCAGGCAGTGGGTCTTGCAGAGGCATGTTTTGAAGGGACAGGCACTATGACACAGGTATCGCCGTGGGTTCCGGACCGTTGCAGCTCCGGTTAATCATGTGCACGCACACACACGTTACTGAGTGCTGACCGTGACTGTTAAAGTCTTTAAATATTTGCTATGTGTGGGTGTGGGGTGCACTGGGCTGAGCTGCTTCCCGGGACACCTGTATGCGCATCAGTGCTGCGAGTTCCCGCTACTCGGCTTTTGCTCCAGCTTTCTGCTACTGCCCCTGGGAAAAAGCAGACAACAGCTCCATTCCTTGGGCTTCTGCCAGCCCTGTGGGAGACCCAGGTGGAGTTCCTGGCTCCTGGCTTCAGCCCAGTCCAGACCTGGCTGTAGCAGCCATTTGGAGGAGTGAGCCAGCAGACAGAATTCCTCTTTGCCTGACTTTTAACTGAAACTCAAAGGAAAAAAAGTGAAACAAAATGAGGGAGGAAATCTACTTTGTGTTTTGATAAGACACTAGTGAGGTACTGTGTGGTTTTATTAAAGAATTGACCATTCAAGCCGGAAGTGGCAAGATCATTGCTGTATTACAAGGATTAATACCCAAGAGCTTAGCCTGTGGCCTGGCTACAGGTCCTCCGATGGCTCCTAGGGACCACTGACCTGCCCTCTCTCAGGCCCACCCCAGGGTCATGTCCACAGCACCTGACTCTTCTACCAGAAAACTGCCATGAGACATCCTTCCGGCGAGGGAGCCTGTAGTGGCAGAGGGCCTCCCAGTCCTGCTGTCCCCCATGGTCAGCAGGCAGAACCCCAATCCAGCAGGCCGTGCCCGTCAGCTGGACCCAGGAGACACCACAGACCATGAGAAACTCCCAAGCACACTGTCTGTACACCAAGACTGCTAACCCAATGCCCACCAGGGCCAGGGGCAGGCAGGGGCGCTGTGCCAGCGAGGAGCAGCGGGCAGGGCGTGGATGAGAAAGCTGTGAGAGGTTCAGAGGGAAGCAGGCATGAGCTGCGGCAAACAAGACAGCCCAGCCTCCACCTAGAACACTAGGCTGTTTTTGGTGCATTCTCCCAAATATTGGCAACAAATATAGAAGATTTAAAAAAGAATCCTGTAACTCCTCCATAGATAAATTTCTAATAAAACTCCAATGGAATACTATCCAGAAATTAACTGCAAAATGGAAAGATACAGCAACTTCAAAAATCCAAAAAATACCAGTCTCTGTTTTGAAAGAAAATCAGTAGAACCCAGGCAACAGAATCACTTGGTGTCTGTCTCGAGCAGGAGGAAGTCAGCTGGGCCCGTGTGTTGGTGACAGCTCTGCATTGTGGAAACACCTGCTCCCAACCCACTGATTCCAAAGATAACCTGGCTTTTCTTCCTCCCGCCATCCCCAGGGTTGGGACCCCAGTTATGAAGAAATCGAGGCACAGAGTCCCTTCTAAACAGCCCAGGGTCCCTTAGCCAAGGGGGCTCCCACATTCCATAATTTGGCACCATCTTAGAGAGAGCTGGAATAACTAAAGTTAGGCACGCCTGTGGCACTAGGCAAAGAGTAGGCACCAATGTGTGTCTGCTGAGAGCATCACGCGTGCGTGCATGAATGAATGCATCTCGCCACTTTGCTCAGATAGTGCCTCCCAGTAGGGAAAATCAGGAGCTGTCCCTGCCACCCCAAAGACTGGATGCTTCCGGGGTCAGCCCAGCAAGCGCAGGAGCTAATCCTCTGTGGACGAAGAAATGGTGTCTCTGGCTCCAGAGGAAGGATGGCCCAGACACAGAGATGAGGTGCCAGCTGTGACCTTAGCTAAGACCTGAGACCCAGAGCTAGTGAGAGGCCCTAGCAGCCCATGCCTCTGGCTTCCCCTCTGTTGGGTACCACGACGAGCTCCCAGCATTCTTAGCCTCAGAGAACTTGGACACAGCAAAGTCAAGGTCAACCTGAGAAAGGGAGGCCCTATCTTCTCACTGGCATGAACAGCTGATTCTGTCCTGGCCCTATTAACACACAGATGGCTCTTGACACTGGCCTGTCAGCCCCCATCAGGAAGGCTGGCCCTTTGTTCTAGGAGATTCTAACTGGAATTTGAAGGGAGAAGTGATCAGCTCATCCAGTCTCTCAGAGGTGTCACCACTGGCATTGTGCATGGACCAATTTTGATGCTGTGGAGACTGCATTGTGGGATGTCTGCTAAACACCAGGCGTGCCCAGACACAGGGACACCCCCAGCATGCAGCGGCCTGAAAGGATGCTGGCTCCGGGATGAAGCGCTGGCAGCTCCCTCATGCACTGGGAACCGGAAGCCACAGAGGGAGTGACAGTCTGGCCGGGGTCACAGCCCAGATCCGAAGACTTGCAGCCCAGAGTCCCTGCCAGCTGTACTCTTGCACACCAGCCCAGGGCACTGCAAACACTGCAAACACACCCAAGGGTGCCACAGCACAGCAGAGCCCCGTGCACAGCCAGCTGTCTTGCTGGCCGAGAGAAATGGAGGCACAGACAGACACAGCCACCTTGTGATCACAAAGGAAGCGGACGCTAAGTGGGGAGTAGGTTGTCCTCGGCTTGTTTTAGTTCCGCCGCTAACTGGGAATGGTGGATGTGGCAGTCCCCGGTAGCAGGTGTCCATGTCGTAGTCAGCAGCTGGGGTCAATCCTGAGACGTGGGCTCCAGGAGAGGAAGCAGTCTGTGGCGGGCTCTGCAGGAGTGTGCATGACTCCATCACAGGTCTTTGATCCACTTGCAAGGTCCTCACAGGCCCCGATGGGAGACACAGCTGTCAGGGCCAGCTCCTCCTCGCAGTCCCGGCTGTGATCTGGAACAGCAAAAAGAATCACCAACTGGAACTGCAAGCTGAGGTGTCTGAGCTCAGAGAAGCCTGGGACTGAAGGGAGGAACGTGGCCCCGCTGCACTCAACAGGCCAATCCTCCAGCTTCAAATGCCAGCCTCCCGTATGGGTGCCAGTTTGTGTCCTGTCCTGGCTACTCCACTTCCCATCCAGCTCCCTGCTTGTGGCCTAGGGAAGCAGCTGAGGACTGCCCAAAGCTTTGGGAGCCTGCAACCACGTGGAAAACCTGGAAGAAGCTCCTGGCTCCTGGCTTTGGATCGGCTCAGCTCTGGCTGTTGTGGTCATTTAAGGAGTGTACCAGTAGATGGAAGATCTCTCTCTCTATAGATCTGCCTTCCAAATAAAACTAAAAAAATCTTAAATTTTTTAACATTAAAAGTAAGATTTAAAAACAAAATATGTATTAAAACCTCAAAGATGTACATACCACCTAACCCAGCAATTCCACTTCTAGGATTTTATCCTAAGAAAATTATTGGGAGTAATTAATGGAACTGCCACGGCCAGCTAAGGATGAAAGAGTCGCAGAGCAGCCACAGGCTAAGCAAGCCATCAGCGCTGAGGATGGTCCAGCAGAGAGAAGCAAAGGGGATCCCTCAGCTCCGAAGCCGAGGCCACTGCTGGGGCAGGAGGAAACCCCGTGACTGCTTCTGCTGTTCCCCAGCTCTCTGCAGCGACAGCATCCTAACTGTCCCAGGCTGAGTGGACAGGAGTGTGCGCGGACACACATACGTGGGCGCTAGAAAGGAGGTCGCATATGATTCCCTGTGAGCACACACACACGCACACACACACACGCACACACACGCACACACACGCGCACACACACACACGCACACACACACACACACACCAAGGGGCAGAAACCTGGGTCAGAGCCGAGGGTGGTGCCAATGAACACCAGCGTCCTGCTGAGCTACTTACTGTACTATGGTTTTGCCAAGTGTTGCCGTTGCGGAAACCAGGCAAACTAGCCACAGCTCGCTCTCTACTCTCACAACCGCGCGACAGTCTACAACTACCTCAAGAATAAGCAAAAGATACTGCTGCTGTGTGCTTATTGCCAAGAAAAGGTGACTGGTGGAGAAAGCAGATTCCCAAGCGCCAGGACTAAGTGGATGGTGTACAATAAATGTAATAGCCTATGTTTATGACAATAAAAGTATATCACATAGTATATCTCCTATCATATCCGGGGTTTACTACATGGCACTATAAATGCGTACCCAGTTGACCCTTGTATCTGTAGGGGTTCTCAAGAACCCCCGTCTCCACAGAAACCAAAATCCCCACACGCCGAAGTCCCTGATAGTGACCACTGCATCTCACCCCGCACGTCCTCCCGCACACTTGCTCTCTAACGGTAGATGCCATGTGCACAGCTGTTAGTTGTTCATGCTGGACTGGTTGGGCAATAAATGCAAGAAAATGGCAGGCCGTGTTCGGTACACACGCAAACTTTCCTTCCCCCAAATCGCTTTGGCCCACGGTTGGTTGGAACCACAGATGTGGAGGGTTGACTGTATGTGGTCCGTAAATGCTATTTGCATTTGAATACACTCCCTTCTACATGGCATTGGCATGGAGACGGTCTCCCAGCTGCTACTTTGTTCCCCAGAGGCTGGGTCAGGCTAGGACAGGGAGTCAGGAATTCACTGTGGGTCTCCCGGAGGGCACAAGGCCCCATCTACTTGGTCTGTGCCCTGCTGCCTCTCAGGGTGCCTCAGCAGGAAGCTGACTCAGAAGCAGAGCTGGGCTGGGACCCAGGCTCTCCGATGTGGAAGTCCCAGGGAGCACTTCAGCTGCCAGGCCAAATGCCTGCATCCCTTTTAAGATATATATTTTAAAAAGATTTAATATGCTACTTGAAAGAAAAAGTTACAACAGAGAGAAAAGGAGAAGCAAAGAGAGAGAACGAGAGAGGGGGGACAGATTTTCCACCCTCTGGCTCACTCCCTGAATGGCCACAACTGCCAGAGCTAGGCCAGTCAGAAGCCAGGAGTCTCTTCCGTGTGTCCCGCGTGGGTACAAGGGCTCAAGCATTTGGGCCATCCTCCACTGCTTTCCCAGGGCATTAGCATGGAACTGGATTGGAAATGGAGCAGCTGGGACTTGAACCAGCACTCATGTGAAATGCTGGTGCTGCAGACAGTAAGCTTACATAATAGACCATGGTGCTGGCCCTATGCTTAAATATTGTTAAATACATACAGCATATGCAGATTATATAGGTATCATACACATATGTATGAACTTACTAAAATGTATACAGTGCAAGGAGAGCAAGAGAGGGAGACAGATAACTGGAATGGTCTATTCCAAAGCATTGCTTATAGTTACCCCTGAGTGATGGCATTATGTGAATGATTTTTATAACTTACTTCCTCTGTGCGTGTGTGTGTATGTATGTTGAGGTACCACCTGGGAAAGGCACAATTGTCAGGCAGTGCCCGAGACCTGGCCCCTGGGAGGTGGGTACCGTGCTGAGTTGGGGGTCTCCCATGATGAAGGAGAGGACCAGAGCACTCGTGCGAGCCCTTGCTTCTGTGACCACGCGTGTTAATGCATCTCTCCAAGGTCATTGATGGCAGAGCAAGTCTCGTGCTGCCGCTGGGAGCAGCGGAGTGGCTGCCGGGAGGAGCCTGTGCGAGGGAGGGCCTGGTGCTGCTGGCACGTCTGGGAGTGAGCCCAGCTGGCAGCCGGCGGGAAGTCAGGATCCGCATGTGTCAATGCATATTGTTGCGAGCCGCTAAGTCTGCGGCTGCTGGTTACACAGCAACAGGGCGCTGACGTACTGACTGATGCTTGCTTCTACAAACAAGGGACACAGTTTCTGTTAAACCTCTGCCCTTTGCTCTACTTCCAGCGTCCTTTGGTGGTGGGGAGGAGGATATGAGCTCATTAGTCATCCTTAGCATCCATGGGGCACTGGCTCCAGGACCCCCTGTGGAGATCAAGCCCATGCAGACAAAGGTGATAGAACTGCCATCACCTGGCCTCTCCTCCTGCACATGTCAAACCCTCCCTGGATTATCAGCAACCCCTAACATGATGTACTGCCAGGGGATGATGGCAAGGCAGGTGTCTGTGCCTGTCTAGTGCAGACGTGGCCCGTGGCCCACAGCAGCTGTCCGTTTCCCCAGCAGCAGCCTCAGTGCACCTAGGCCTGCCTTCTCCAGCATCTTCCGGCTCACCTCTGGGCATTGGCCTGATGAGTCCACCCTCTCCATGGCTCCTGAGTCCTCCCCTCAGTTGGGTCTGCCCTGCCCACAGTTCCCTGGGGACAGCCGCAGCCCCCACCCCCTAGCTGCAGCCAGGCTCCTCTCCCACTACATTGTGGTCTTAGAATCACCAGGGCCCTCCGCTGCTGAAGGCCGTCCAGGGCTCACATTCTCCTCTTCAGCCTTGGCTTCCATTTCCTCTGCCTGCCACCCCCCACTCCAGGGCCCTGGAGAACAGCATCCTTGGTGAGTGCTTGTACAGGGTTCCCCCTCTTCCAATTTTCAATTTACCATTTATGGAAATCCTGGCTCAAACATCACTTGCTCCACCATATTCCTTAAAGAAGTCTTGGATTGCACTGGGCCTCGGATGCCCCACCATACATGTGGCAAAACCTGCATCATCGCTCCACCCACCTCCTTGGGTAGGCCGGTTCATGGCAGGTGTCCCATGGACACTGGTCCACTCTGTCCCTAATGTCCTGTGTGCGTGCACCCAACCCTTGGGCTTCAAGAAGCCGAAGCACTCACCCTGGGCAGGGCCTCTGGAGGAGGTGGCATCTCGGTCCTTCCTCTGGCTCCAGGGACCCCAGGAGAAGCAGGCCAGTAACCCTGGCAGACCTGGTCTCTCCACAGCTCCTTCTGCAAGAAAGAACACATGGAGACAAATGGCCAGGCAGTTTGTACTGTAGAAGATTCCAGTTTTCTGTACAGCAACACCAGAGCCTCAATGGCCTACATTCCTAGTATCAGCAGCCTGGTTATCTCACTTCATCCTCCCAAACACGCTCCGATGGCGGGGCCGTAGTGGGAAACCATGGCAAAAGAAGGGGCATGCAATTAATTATAAGCACCCGGCACTCAAGAAGAGCCACACAGGGCAAATCCTCTGCCTGATGTTTGGTTCTAACTGCATCTTAATAACAATTCTCATTTCCTTATTAAGATCACAGTAGCCTTTCAGTTACCTGGAGATCACCCGAGAGCCACAACTATCTGGAATAGAGCCAACAGGAACCACATTCTTTAAAAAAGGATTTATCTGTTTACTCGAAAGGTGGAGTTACATAAAGCCATTCGTTCACCCTCCCAAATGGCCAGAATGGTCGGGGCTGAGTCATGCCAAAGCAAGGGGCCAGCAGTTTCATCAGGGACTCCCACGTAGGTGCAGGGATCCAAGCACTTGGGCCATCTTCCACTGCTTTCCCAGGAGCATTAGCAGGGAGCTGGATTGGAAGTGGAGTAGTTGGGACTTAAACCAGCATCCCTAAGGGATGAACCCACTGTGCCACATGCCAGCTCCCAAGAAATGCATTTATGCATTTTTAAAAAAACATTTATTTATTTTCATTGCAAAGTCAGACATACAGTGAGAATGAGAGACAGGAATATCTTCCGTACGACGATTCACTCCCCAAGCGACTGCAACGGCTGGAGCTGAGCCAATCCAAAGCCAGGAGCCAGGGACTTCCTCCAGTCTCCCCCGCGGGGCCAGTGGGATTAGAACCATCACCCATATGGGATCCCGGCACGTGCAAGGTGAGGACTTTAGCCACTAGGCTATTGCGTGGGGCTCATAAATATCGTCTTTAAATGTAAAAAAAAAAAAAAAAAAAAAAAAGGATGTGGTGCAGCAGCAAAGTCGCCCTAAATGTGAAAGTGCCTGGGTTCGAGTCCGAGCTGCTCTGCTTCCAAACCAGCCTCCTGGTAATGGCAGGCACAAGTCCACGGGCCCCTGCCATCCGCCTGGAAGACCAGGACTGGATCCTGAGCTCCAGGCTTGGCCTAGTCCTGGACCACGCGAGCAAAAGGAAGTGCTTTCTCTGTCAATTTCCCTTTCAAATAAAACAAACACATAAACGTAAAAACAAAGACTTTCTGGCAAAAAAAAAAAAAGTCTTGTTTATAGTCGTTATTCTGAGCCTGTCCACTTTTACTGGCACTCAATGCTAACAAAACTGGATCTTGAGTTCTCCGACCCAGAGCGGCTGGATGGGACGGTACAAACAAGGTGGAAGGGCATTGCTGAAAGGCAAGCAACTTGGGAAAATAAAAGTCATCATTAGGCGGTGATGAAACAGATCAGCAAACGTTAACAGGGCCACATCGCAGCTGGGAACACCTCAGCCGCGTGGACCTCATTGGCACCACGGTCACGGTGCCTCCTCAGCCAGGAACTCCAAGGGTGCTAGGTTCTGACCACTCCCCCATTCTCCCTCCCTAGGAAAGGTGTTCCGTGTGAACATAGTTGAGAAGGGCGCATGGAGCCACCAGTAGCCTGCAGCAAGTGCCACAGGCAGCCGGCCAAGCCCACACAAAGGGGTGTGTGCCCAGGGGGAGGAAGTTTGAGGCAGATCCCGCAGCTAGGAGCAGGGCGGGGTGGGGGTGTGGGTGCAAAGACCACAGTTGGCCGGCTAGGCTGGCCTTGGGACATGTGTAAAGTCACAGGTACCACCAGGTCTTCTCGTTGTCCCCACACTTCCCCCATTCAGCTCCAGCATGACCCAGTTGGAAGCCAAGACCCAGTGACTTACACGCACAGGCTGACTGTGCGTCACGCTTAGGCTGCGGGTGCAGGGCAAGCTGCGCCAGCCGGGTGGGGAGCGGGAAGCCAGGAGCGCTCCGGTTCCGCCTGACCACGCGATCCTTCACGTCCCTCTTTGAACTCCAGCAAGCTGCAGAGTTCCTGTGAAACCCGGTGTCTCAGGATGGTGGACAATTTGACCCTTCCGCCCAAGGTAGCAACAGCCACAGAGCTAGGAAATCCTCCTAGCCCTGGGGGAGGGCGCGTGGAGGGCGGCGCACCTGCGGGCAGGCTGGAAGCTACACGGGGATGTCTGCACACCCGCGGTGCACGACCAGGAGGCGCTGGAGAATGCCTCGCACCCAGAGCCACGCCGTGCTGGACACGCCCTCCGCGGCCCCCCGGACCCCCATAAAACTCCGCACCGCGAGGCTTTCCCACCTCCGAGGTCGTGCGCTTCTCTTAGCCACTCCCCGCCTTCCGCGGCTCCCCTGGCTTCCCTAGGCCCAGCGCGTCCCAGCACCGTGGCACCTTTATGTCAGACTCGACCCCTCTCCCAGGGCAGGCTTCCTGCTCGCCGGGGGATCCCGGTGTCTGCTTACCTCAGTGTGCAACGAGGTGTGTGTGGGGGGGTCAGCCTAAAGGGGTTCAGCCTGTGGGAGATGCTTTCCCCCTGCAACCTTTCCCTCCCGCGCTCCGCCGCTCGCCGCACAGCCTCACCTGGTCGCCCGGGTCCGGCGGCTTGCAGGGCTCTGCAGGCGGCTGCTTGCACGGCCAGGCTGGAGGCCGGGCGGCCCGGGCAGTAGGCAGCCACCTGCACCGGGCCCCCGGTCTGGCGGCCGAACACTGTGCGCAGCAGCGCCTCCAGCAGTCGCAGCCCGGGTGCCGCGGCGTCCTCGGGCCCGGCCTCGGCCACCAGCACGCCGACCAGCGCCGCGCCGGCCCGCCTCCGGCCTCGCACGTCCCGCAGCATCTCCCGCAGGCGGCGGCGGGGCTCCCGGGCGGCCAGCGACGAGGCGCGGCACAGCACGAAGACGAGCGGCGAGCGGATGGCGCGCGCTGCCGCAGGAGCCCTCGGCGCCCCGCGCGCCTCCCCGGAGCCCGCGCTCTCGGCCGCAGCCGCGGGGCAGCCGGCCTTGGCCGTGGCCGGCTCAGCTGGGAACACGGCCTGGGCGAAGTCCCGCAGCAGCGCGCGGCTCGGTTCGCGCTCCCACAGCTCGCCCACCAGCAACACCTGCCCGCGGCCGCCCGCCGCCTCCACCAGCGCCTGGAAGGGCGGCTCGGCGGGCAGTGCTTCCAGCTCGCGCTCCATGCTCGTCCCCGCGCGGCCCTGCTCCCCAACCCGCCTCTCGGCGCCTGGGCCGGCAGGACACGCCCCCCTCCCGGGGCCCGGGTGGCTGGACCCCCGGCCGGGTGGCCGAGCCGGTCGGAGGCGGGGTGGGAGGGCGGGGAGGGCACTGTCCTGGTGGCTTCTTCCGCAGTCCCTGGGGCTGACACCGGGAAGCAGGGCCTCCTTCCTTCCTTCCTTTTTCAATCCTGCCAGCCTGCAAATGCTCGGCACCTGCTAGGCGAGGGCGCTGGGTGTCCCGAGAGCACGTGCACCCTCACAGGGGATATATCCCCTGTCTTAAGTTACTGATGCCAAGCAGGTGGAAATTAGTCTGATGACCGAGCATTAGAGACACGATTAGATTGGATTAGGGTCTTAGTGTGGTAGTGTGGTGCCCCTAAGGTTGAGGGGACGCGGAGCGATGGGACCACATTCACTCCTGAGCTCTGGTGGTACTCTGCACACTTGTAAGTCGCCATTTGCTAGGAGGCCCCCTCCCCCATACCTGGAGCTTCCAGAGCCCTGAGCCTACACACCTCTTTTTCCATGTAGAGCGAGGCTGTCTTGCTCGAATCCTTCTTTCCAGTAAGACGAAGCTGATGCACACACCAGGTTAAGATGGTTTTGTGATGGGTGTTTCTCGGAGGTCCTACATGGTTTGGGGGCAGGATCTGCCTTAGCTGTGCCCACTCCCAACATATAGGGAAAGGGCACAGAGAAAGGGGTGGCAAGACGTGGGGAATAGGATACTTCTGTTCCCTCTCTGCTTACCAAAAAGGGGTGGTGGTGGTGGTGGGGGGGGACATTGATGGTGCTGGGTGCCCTTCAGGCTGAGATCAGCACATGCGCTGTCAGCAGTCCCCGTCAGAAGCAGCATGCCTTTCGTTGTGAGTTGGCTTAGTCCAACAGAACATATTCTGTAGGAAGGCCAACATTTGTCCAGGCTCTGTGGAGCCCAATGCAGTAGCTGCCAGCCGCGTGTGGCTATCGCTGAGACCGTGCCGTTTGGCTCCTGCCGCTGAGGAGTTGAGTTTTTGAATGCATTTAATTTCCGATGGTAGCTGCACACGGCTGGTGGCTGTGACACTGGGCAGGGCTGGCAGAGGCACGTTCCCCTGTGTGTTACTCAGCGGTAGCTCAGAGGGACAAGAACAGGGAAGACTGGTGTGTGTGTCAGGGGGAGGGTATTGCTGGCATTGTGGCACAGTGAGCTAAGCTGTCACCTGCAATACAATTAGGCTGGAATCAGATTCAGCCATCCAGTCATCCACGCGCCGTATTCACTGAATATTTCGGGTCCCTCCTTGGGGAGAGAGCTGGGAGCAGGGAGGGTCATGCCCTGCCTGTGCTGGTGTGGAGAGAGAGAACGCACAAACACACATATGACTACAGCTTCCCACTGCAGTGGGCTCTCTGGGGTCGACAAGATGGCAGAGTCCTACAGGAACCAGCCCTTTCTGTAGTTTCTGCCCCACCTGAGGACTCCACGGAAGAGGCCCAAGTCTGTCAAGTCTAAGAAACATCTGGAAGCTGAGACAGGTCCCCATGCTGCCTCCCCTGGGGACTAGAGGAGGGGGTGCCCTGAAGGGGGATCCCCTGTACACTTCTGCCCACACTGGTTTCTATAGCTCCCTGCCCAGCCTGTGCCTGCCCCTCCACTGCCATGGTACTGGGAGGCGGCAAATACCTGTGCTGGCACACAGCACCAGGTGGGCTCACAGCCTAGAGCAGCCAGGCCTGCCAGTGCCAGTCCCTGCTCCCCACTGCACAGACCAGGCTTCTGAACAAGTGCCTGAACAAGCTAGCAGCAGAGCAGTGGCTGGCAGGCCCTGTTCATGTGGCAAGGGAAGCAGCTTTCTCGGCTTTCTGCTTCCGTGAGATCCCAGGAGGGGCGCAAGATAGACTCCAGGCCTTCTCTACTTTGTTTGGTGTTTTAAAATTACGTATTTTGCTTTAAAGAGAGAGAGACGTAAGAGATGTCTTTCACCTGCTGATTTACTCCCCAAATGCCTGTAATTGGTAGTAACCGGGGAAGGGACTGCAGCCAGGAATTCATGAGCACTCACTCCCATGGGAGTGACAGGGACCCAGTGGTTGGGTTACTGCTGCCACCCAGGGTGCAGTCAGGAGCCGGAACCGAACCTGGGCACTCCAGCGAGGGGTGAGGGTGTCCCCACCATGCAACCAAAGGTCTGTGCGGAGGCTTAGGTTGCGAGTCCTCCGGGCGTGTGCACTACACCCAAGGCAGCACAGATGTCAGAGACTTCCGGAAAACACCAAAGTAGATAGTGCAGATGTAAATTAGGATTTGTTTTAGTATGAATACTATAGATTCCAAGTTACAGTGGTGTACACGCACACAAGGATAGGTTAGTTTTCTCTCTTGCCGAAGTTTTGGGGTGGAGAATTTAGGTTCACTAACTTTGTTTCACTAGATCCTGGGGGGACTCAGGTCCCACTCCAGGTCACTACTCATGGAGATGTCATGCATCTTCACGAGCCAAGTCAGCGGCTAAAGCTCAGGTCATTACACCTGTATCCCAAATGGCTAGGAGGTAGAAGGAACAAAAATCAGAGTGATTTCAGATTTCTTAAGAGCTAACACTGCATAGTAGAAAAAGCTGAATGGCAGTTTTAAAGGATCTATAAAAAAATAGCTTAGAACATAGGTTTGGATTTGTAGATAAACAAAGATATGAAGAACCAGAAGGTTTGTCACAGACAGCCCCTCTCAGAAACCAGAGTGCTCACCCACAGCCAGGACTGTCAGTCCAGACTCAGTCGCTGTGCCATTCGGGCATAGCTCCTGGCACTCTCCCCCACTGCCCACCACTGCTCTTCCAGGAGCTATGTCTGCGCTTGCTCAGAAACCTGGCCCGTGCAGTGGGAACAAAGGGCTGGCACTGGTAGTTCTAGCTATGACAGGTGTCTGCTGCCTCCCAGCACCATGGCAGTGGGAGGATTGGCACAGTGGGGCAGGGAGCTATGGAGGCCAATGTGGGCAGAGAAATTGTGCAGGGGGCCCCATCTGAGCCTATCCCCCGTCCCTTCGTGCCATGGGGGGAGAGGCATATGGGGACCTGTCCCAGCTTTCATCCTCGGTTCTCAGAGACTTGATGAATGTCCCCCTGTCTTCTGTGGAGTCCTTGGGGCGGGGCGGGAGCTGGGAGGATGCAATGCCAGGAAAGCAGAGGAAAGCTGGCAACTGGGTGCAGGGAGGGCCGTGCTGCGGTGGCCTGCACTCGGCCACCAGGACTATTTACTGCCAGGCAGCACATTCCAGAGTCCGGGGTGCAGGGTCAGGCAGGGGTTGGAGTCCAGGGCCAGGGATTAGCCTTCTGCGTGGTATTTACACAGCAAAGGCCCTGGTATTCATTGAACAGGAGGGAGGCAGATGCCAGGAGGGTCCCTTCCTGCTCTCCTTCCATGTCCTGGGAAGACATCTTCAGACAAGCCGCTGCTTCTCACTGTCTCCTGTTTTGTGGAAGCGTGGAGGGAGCTGGGATTTGGGGATGAATTTGTCTCTCGTTGCTCCTGGAGCAGAAGTTACTGGAAGCCAGTGCTGTGTCAGAGTACAAGGTCTCAGTGGCTCGCCTGGTACCTCCACTCTCCCGCTCTCCTCCTTCCCTTCCTCTGCACCTGCAGCTTTCTTTTTTCCCATCACTCTTCCTTCTCTGTCCTCCTCTCTCCTCACCCACTACTTCCCTAAGCCTGTTGTTTTGGGGGGCTCTAAGGAAGGCGGGGCCTGGGCAGTGGAAATCAGGAAAGCCCAAGCCCCACAGAAGAATGAGGTGGAGGTGGGAAGTGGGATTTTATTTATTTTAGTTTTGTTTGAAAGGGAGAGTTACAGAGAGGCGAGAGAGAGAGATTTTCTGTGGGCTGATGGTCGCAATGTCTAGAGCTGGGCTGGTCTGAAGCCAGGAGCTGGGACACAAACTAGTGCCCATGTGGGAAACTGGCACTGCAGGCAGAGGATTAACTTACTATCCCACGGTGCTGGATCTGGGGGTGGTGTTATGGTATAGTGGGTTAAGTTGTTGTCTCTGACAGGAGTACATGTTTGAGCTACTCTGCCTCAGATCCAGCTCTCTGACAACGTGCCTGAGAAAGCGGTAGAAGCTGGCCCAAGTCCCTGGAGCACCTGCATGGGAGATCTGGAAGAAACTCCTTGCTCTGGCTTGGCCCAACCCTGGCCATTGTGGCCATTTGGGGAATGAATCAGCGGATGGAAGATCCCTCTCTGCCTCTTTCTCTTGGTATGTAGCTGCCTTTCAAATAAAACAAAACAAACAAACCAAAAACAACAGCTGGATCTGACAACAGGCCACGTTGCAGGTCCACCGGGCACTGGTGGCCAGTGTGGGCACTCAGGTGCGAAACATTGTATCTTCACTGGGCATGCAGGGCTCTGTGCCAGTGGGAACTTTTGGGACCTGAGTGATACTGGATAGGTGGGGAGCTGGGTGAGGGCCATGAACTGGAAGCCACACCTCCCCTCCCTAGTCAAATAACCCCCTTCCCAGGCTATTTCTCCTATCACGTGGGACCTGGGGAAGGTACCAAGCAACCACTCCCCTGCCAACCCCCTAAGGATCCAGCAACTGTTACAGATCTCTCTCCCCAGACAGGGACCGATGGGGTAGGGGCCTCAGGCTCTGTCTCTCTACTCCTCTCCCACATCCTTTTTCCTTCCCGGCCCACTCTCTTGCTGAACTGTGCCCTCCCGTCCCCCTTCCCGTGTGTGTGTGTGTGTGTGTGTGTGTGTGTGTGACCTTTTAAATCAACATCCCCACTCTGTGTGCCGTATTTGTGCCTGTCCTTGAAATGCTTTTCAAGGTAAAAGGCAATGACCTGGGACAGGAATCCAAACCCTACCCCTTGCTCAGAGCGTGAGGAATATGTGTTGGGGCGGCCAGAGGCATGGGCCAGTTACAGTGGTGTCAGAAGGAACGTGAGCAGTTTCTCTGGGAGATACCTGTGCG